ATTTGCACATCATATACATAGTAAAGAAGACATCCAGAATAAAGAACTTCTACAATTCCACAACAACAAAAAAATCCAAGTAACATGACTTTAAAAATGAGCCAACACCTTGAACACACATTTCTTCAAGGCATATGAAAAGATGCTCAACACCACTAGTCAGGGAAATGCATATGAAAACTATAATGACATATTACCTCACACCCGTTAGGTTGGCTGCTATCACAAACAAAACAAAAAACAGAAAGTAACAAGTGTTGGTGAGGATGCAGAGAACCTGGAACCCTTGTGCCCTATTGGTAGGGATGTAAAATGGCATGGCCAACTACAGAAAACTGTATGGATGAGGGTCCCCCCCAAAATTAAAAAAGAATGATCGCACTGCGAGGTAACAGAAAATGTATATTTGTCTCTACCCCTGGTTCCTGGCACAGAGCTCCTAAAACTCTTACTATTTGGTCTCTTAATATTTGGTCTCTGACTCCAGTCAGGACACAGTGCTCCTGAAATCCTTATAATTTCCTGGGTGATAAAAGTGTCTTTTGTTCTCCTGGATTCCTGGATGTCTTCTGAATAAGGGCAGGTCACCAGAAAGACCAAACTATGATGAGAAACTTGGAATTTTCAGCTCTACTCCATCATGCCCCAGAGAGGGGAGAGGAGCTGGAAACGGAGTTAACAATCGATCGCGCCTATGTGAGGAAGCCTCCATAGAATCCCAACAGTACAGAGTTCAGGGAGCTTCCATTCCAGGCGGGTGAACACATCCACACCAGGAAGGGTGGCACGCCCTAACTCCACAGGGGCCCTGCAGTTGAGGCCCTCCCATTCCTTGCCCTACGTATCTCTTTATCTGGCTGGTCGTCTGTATCCTTTATCACATCCTTTAATAAACTGGTAAAGTAAGTAAGTGTATTCCTGGGTTCTGTGAGCCAATACATCAAAATAATTGAACCTGGGAGGGGTCCTGGGAACCTCCAATTTGTAGCCAAATTGAACAGAAGTTGCAGGTTACCTGGGGACCCACTACTCGTGATTCGCATCTGGAGTGGGGTGGGAGCAGTCTTGTGGGACTGATTCCTTAACCGGTGGGAATCTATACTATTTCCAGGTAGACAGTGTCCGAAATGAGTTAAGCGACAGGATGTCTAACTGGTGTCAGAAAATTGCTTGGTGGGGGCAAAGCCTCCCTCCACACATTAGGTGACCAGAAGTGTCGCAAGTCATGTTCTGTGTAAAAGTAAAGGAGATGTGCAAGTGAAAGAAAGACACAGTATGGAAGAACTAGGTTTTTCCCTCCGGGAGGGAAAAGCGAGTCTTTTCTTTCCACCTGTGATCCGGCAATCTGACTTCTGAGTATATATCCAAGAGAATTCAAAGCAGGGTCTTGAAGACATATTTGTACACCCATATCCACCACGGCACTGTTCCCAACAGCAGAGGAAATGGAAGCAACCCTAACGTGCATCGGTGAACGAATGAATATACGACATGTGGTACACACAACGGAGTGTTATTCAGCTTTAAAAACCAGAAGGAAATTCTGTCACGTGCTGTAGTATGGATGAACCTTGAAGACCTTATGCTAACTGAAACAAGCCAGTCACAAGAAGACAAACGTTGTATGATTCCCCTTTTCTACCACGGTCAAACTCAATAGTCATAGAGGGCAGAATGGTGGTCACCAGGGGCTGTGGGGAGGAAGAAGCGATGAGTGGTGTATGATTTCTACGCATATGTGGAATCTAAAAGAGGTGAATTCATGGAAACGCAGAGCAGAACAGGGGCGTTACCAGGGTGTGGAGGAAGAGGGAGATGTTGGTCAAGGGTACAAACTTCCGGTTACACGATGAGCAAGTTCTGAGGATCTAAGGGACAGCACAGTGACTACAGTTACGAATACCGTATTATATATCAGAAAGTTGCTAATGAAAAGGCCTTAAATACTGTCACCACGGGCACACAAAATGGCAACTAGGTGATGGAAGCACCTAACCTTACCGTGGCCATCATTTCACAATATACACATGTATCGCATCTTCACGTTGCACATTAAACTTTTACAATGTGATTGGTCGCTTGTATCTCGACAAAGCTGGGGGAAAAACAAGAATCTCGCGTGGCCCGTGAAGGAACCAGAAGAAAAAGCTGACGGGTATGTATGAAAAAGAAAAAAGAAAGAATGGGCAGCAGGTTTTCAGGGGGTATAGAGACTGGAGATTGGCCGCACACGTGAATACATTTGGCACTACTAAAGCATACACTTAAAAACGGCTAATAAATGTTGTGGTTTTGACTACAATTTAAAAAACTTGAAAGAAATCACACTACACGTACCTACGGCTGCTATAAAAGTCATAATCAAAACACACTCACACCATGTTCCAGGTGATTCAATAGAAGCCATTCAACTCATGGCTTTCACGTAGTTTTTTACTTTCTGAAGATGTAACTGCAGGCTGACTGGGCTTTTCTCATCCTCATCTTCCCTGATCTCTTTGCAGGAATGAATATTACCGGTCATTCCTATTGTGTAAACATCCTCGCCAGCTGGCTTCTCTCACACAAATTGACTTCTCTCCACGTCTCCACAGCTTTGGCTGACGTCCTCCGCATGCCCCTCGTGTGTTCTTCCCTGTCCTCCCGTCTGTCCTCAGTCTTCTGTCTCTAACCTGCTTTGTGAATGAAGCTCATGACTTCAGTAACTGTCTCGTGCGGATAACTTCTAAATTTTCATCATCAAGTATTTTTAAAAACCTACGCATATAATACATATGGACATATCCTGCAGGTAGCTATAGAATCAATTTTCAAGTCTGGTACGTTCTATCTCTATAAAATCTCTCCAATCTGTCCCTTGCTCTTCTTCAAGTAGATAGAGACCACTATGTGATTCATTCATTCATCAAACATTTACTGAGATCTAATTAAATCCCTAACATGGTGCTGGGAACTGGAGACTCAAGAATTCAACAGCATGAGCCCTGCTCTTAAAGAGTGCACTTATAATCATATGTATCTAAGTGATCACAATTGCTAGTCATCTTCACAAACCATTGTAGAGAAACAGATTATACATCTGCTTGTTTGGGCCTCCTAAATGTGAATGAAACTGATATGAGCCACTCCCAAGCAGAGACCTATCCTCACTGAAATGTTATCTGGTAGACAAATTCCCTAGTCTGATAGTTAAGGGCCCAAAAAATGTAGCTACTTACTTATCCAGCAGCATCTCAACCAAACCCTACCCACCAAGCTACTGATTCCCCAAGTTTATTCCACAGCTGCTAATCCAGGAAAAACAAGGAGGTTTTGGTCAGCTAAGACTGGGAAATGCCCTTTGAAACAGTTAAATAGACTTCATTGCAGAGCTTCTTGGAGCCTTTAATGCGTTTGCAAAATCCCTGGAGAATTTATTAGGCAGTCTTTTCCAACCTTGCCGTTCTAACCAACACTGCTGGTATATGGTCAACTCTCCAACCACCGCATCTTTGTTCATACTCTTCCTCCAGCCCCAAGTCCACAGGACCAAGCCACGCCCTTCTTTCAAGACCCACCACAAATGCCCTCACTCCAGGAAGCTTTTCCTATTTTTTCCTTCACAAAGCAGTCTTTTTCCCCTCTGAGCTTCTACTGGTCTCCCTCAAATTCAGCCTCCGTATCGCTTCCAGTGATCTTGCCAAACGCAAACCTATTACACCATTCACCTATGTTCCAGAGCACCCCCCAACCTGCTTTCAGGAAACAAAATCAATTATAGGCCATCCTAGTCCAGACCATTCCTGTGTTTCTAGCCCCATCGCCTATGATATCCCTGTAGCTATACAAGACCACTCTCAACTCCCCTAAGATTTTGTGCTATTTCGTAACACCATCCCTTTATACGTTGTTTCCTCTACCTCAGGACCCTCTGTCCAGCTAATTCCTTGTCTTTCAAAGCCGAATTCAAGCATCACCTCTCTCAAGGAGGCATCCCTAATCTAAGTTAGATAGCTTCCCTTTGTGCTTCCATGATGTCCTAAGACAGAAGTTCTCAATCAGATCAGATTTCGCCCCGTTGGGGATCATACGGAAAGGTCTAGAGGCATTTTCTACGATCACAATGAGTGAGGGGTGAGGATGGGGAGCGCTACTGGCATCTAGTGAATAGAGGCCAGAGATGGTGGTGGTAAACATCCCACAGTGCACAGGACAGCACCCCACAGCAAAACGCCACAGTACCCAGGTTAAAGAACCTTGCCGTAAGCACACCACCGTGGTAACACGTCACCATATAAGCACTGATTTAGTTGTTTAGCTCCCTCACTAGACTGTAAGTTCCTAGGACAACAGGACTCCCTGGTGTTAGCAGTATTAATATCCAGCATTCATGAAGCGCTTACTATCTGCCACTCACTGTTCTAAACAACGAACTTGCGTAACCTCATGTAATGCTCGGGGACAACTATGAGCGGGTACTATTCTCTTCCCGGTTCTGCACACTAACAGAGTGAGCTGTGGACTCCCTGAGGTCACACAGCAAGTGGTGGAGCTGGGAGCAATCTGATTTCATCACCCACACCCTTCAACACTGTTCCATTCTCCTCCCAAGATACTTCTATCAAACAAGAACAATACTTGTCTTTTTATGGAGGTCAAATCTTTGTTCTTCTGAACATCACTCATGAAACCTTTTACTTACCAGTGCCAAGAGCCCCGACTTCGGCACGTTTGACATTTTAAACCGAGTAGCTCTGCGGTGGGGGGCTTACTTAGGCATCGTACGATGTTTACCAGCATCCCTGGCCTCTACCCACTAAATGCCAGTAGCACCACCACCTCCCGGGTCCTGCCTGTCATGACAATAAAAACAGTCTCCAGATCCTGCCAAATGTCCCCTGCGGGGAGGAAATCACAACTGATCTAGAACATGTTTGTAGGATAAAGTAGTGAAGTCATTTTTAATACAGTACTTAAAAGGAAAACTCTGTTCAAAGATTAAGAAAGAAACAATAATTTACCTTTTCAGCTAATTCTTCTGCTGTTATCTTTGGATCATAAGGAATAGGCTCACCTAAATAGGTGCGTAATTTCACAGGAAAACCTCCATACATCGGAGCAAATGGATAGCGGAATTTTTCATAAAGCCATCTAAATAACCCTGTTTTAAAGTAAACAAATTATTTTAATGGGTTAAATATTCTGAGCACATAATTGTAACTTTCAAATTAATATGTAAGACTTAGAGGAAGGTGGCAAACAATATCACCCCCGGGCAATTAGTACAATATATGTTTTTTTAAGACGAGCTTTTCATCACTTGTAACTAATGGAGCATACTAACGTAAGATGTTAATAATAAGAGAAACTGAGGGGTGGTGAGAAGCTGTATCAGTACTCTGCATTTTCTGCTCAATTTTTCTGGGAACCTAAAAATGCCCCCCAAAATAGGTTTGTTCATTTTTTTTTAAATGAGCTTTCAAAAATAAGAGAATTTTAGGGGCGCCTGGGTGGCGCAGTCGGTTAAGCATCCAACTTCAGCCAGGTCACGATCTCGCGGTCCGTGAGTTCGAGCCCCGCGTCAGGCTCTGGGCTGATGGCTCAGAGCCTGGAGCCTGTTTCCGATTCTGTGTCTCCCTCTCTCTCTGCCCCTCCCCCGTTCATGCTCTGTCTCTCTCTGTCCCAAAAATAAATAAACGTTGAAAAAAAAAATTAAAAAAAAAAATAAATAAGAGAATTTTAAAAAGGCAAATCAATTACTATTATTACAAAACAAAGGGTAAAGACTATAACCCAAAGCTAGAAGCTAAAATGTCTAGAGACTCACAAAAACAGGCTTGTATGAATAAAAGAAAAAAAAGAAAAGGGTAAGATAAATTCACGTAAACATGAAACTACAATGCACCAATAAACCAGGTAAAGAAAAAATATTGTAAATTAAGAAAACTGCAGAGTAGCAAAGAATTACTAATGTTAGTGACCAAGTACAAAATTTAGCAGGATTGCAAGTGGCAATAATGTAAAACAAACTGATGAACTAAGTAAAAAAGAAAGTCAAAAAGCAGTCAACAGTAATTTTTAAACCACTTTATAATTAAAGAAACAAAATTAGGAATAATTTTTGGTATGCAACTTAAATTCTGAAGAAATGACCTGAGAGAAAATTAGAAGAAATAATTCTACTGTAAGAAATAATCCCCAACAGTTAAATATCACATCACTTTCCACTTTACATTTGAAAAAAAGGGGGGGGGGGAGTAATACCTAAAAAATGTAATCGAATATCAACGATATACCAACATCAGACATAAAACAGACAACAGAAATTTAAAGTTCTTCAAGAGGAGATCTGCATGGGGATAGGAACAATATATTGCTAGGGATACAAAATATAATCAATCGAATATAATATATAAAACACAGGATATAAAAACAAACCATGAAAATCTCAAAATAAAAAGAAAACAACAGAGAAACTGCAAAGAAAAAGCACATCTAAATGTTATCTCTCCTCTAACTACACTCAAAGCTTATTTTGTTACCCATAAATTAAAGTTAGGCAAAAAGAACTTTATAATATAAATGTATCATGGTTCAAAATATTTTAAAAAGCAAAAAATAAGAAGTAACAGATATGAACCAAAGCAGATGATACATCCTTGTCTCGTTAATCTTAATTCAATATCATATTGTCATCCATTTTTAAAGCTGAAACTCATGCAGCAGTGAGTTAGGAAGGCAGTCTGAGTCATGGGTACATTTGTTCTAAACCTCAACAACGTGGTTCAACCCAGGAAATTAGATAACTCACTGTAATTTTAAGCCCACAACAAATAAGCTTCAGTATGTAGATGAGATTCTCAACAAAAACCTAACATCTAAGAACTGCCATTACTTAGAATGAGTTATCGTTTAGACTTTAAATAGAAAAGCATCTAAATAATAAATTCATTATCTAAAGTAATAACTCAAAAGGATTTCTTATAGGGTTCAAAAGCCCAAATATTTAAACTACTATAATCTAAATATTACATTACAATTAGAAAAACCATATGAATCAGAACTTACTTGTTCCTCCAAGTGATCTAAATCCTTCTCGAATATTTTGTGTAAACATAGGAATAATGGGCTAGAGAGAATTTGAATTAAAAAGTAAATATATTGATCCATTCAATATCACCATTGAGTCAATAATGCAAACTTTTGGGGGCCTGCTTAAGATTATGAAATGAGGTATTTTAAAAATAAAGGTATACTTTTATCACTAGTGTGATTTATCAGACTACATTTAACTTGATCATTTGTAAAAATAAAAATTGGAACTACTACCCTCTAGTGGCGATATGTATTTCATTTGCCAACTTTCCTATCATTCCACATAAACCCTTGAAACTCAAAATGAGGATAACCAAAATCATTAATTTCACGGAATAAAATGAATATGGTAAATTGATCTTAGCGGTCCACTGAAGAGTATGCTGACTGGAGAAAAGTTACAAGGCAGAGGTCCCTGTATGGGGAAATACATATGAATTTAAATGACAGGTTTTGGCAAGATGCTGTCACAGAATTACTGAAACACTTTTTTGTGTGAGCTTATGAAATCTAAAAATGTTCAACATTAATGAAAAGTATAAGACTCACTGCAAAAAACAAAAAAAAAGGAAAAGCATATACAGAAAACAATTCCTTTTATCATTAATTTTAGAGCATTTCTGCTCACAAGTTCATGGTTTTTATTATCCTATGAATATCACTGATTAAGCATGATTGTTTAAACAGAGACCTTAACAATGATGAAATAGCAAAGGATCACATAAGGAGGTTCTACCATGGTGAAACTGAAGTAGACAAAAAAAATTGAATAGAAACACCTTAATATGCACACAAAATCCAACGAATTAAACGATGTTTCAGAAAAAAAAAAAAGCTGAGTATCACATTACTTCCAGTCTACCATCAGTCTGTGCCAAATACAGTGTTCCCTGCCTCGGTGAGCAGGGCTTGAGATATTTAAATAAGCTGACATTTTACAAAGCCATTCTTACTCAGCTGTGGGGAACAGTAAACTATGGTGGACTGAAGGAAAGGGACTAAAAGCATAGCTTTCTTCATAAGACTTACTAGCTCACATAGAACCACTGACCATTTATTTACTGATCTCTCCCCGCAGTGGAAGGAAGACCCCTAACAGCGGAGACGTTGTTGTGCTCACAGCTGCGTCCCCAGCACCCAGAACAGTGCCTGGACTAGACTAGGTGCTAAAACGAAGTGCGATGAAGGAATCACAGAAGGAATGAGTACACAGAACAGACACAATGCCTGTAATGGATTAGTTTGTATTCTCTGAATACAAAATGTCAGAAACAGGCAGCAGCAATCTTAAAGCCAGTTAGGAAAAAAAGTCAGGTAAAGAAAAGCACTCCGGTGGAAGAATTTAAAGTTTCGTGGCGTTAATCCACAAAGCTGAAACATGAAACAAAGTACACGGACTCTTTGGTAAAAAATTCAGATTATGATCAAGGAAACCACCCCTGGTTTGGTGAAATAAAGTAATTGGCTGACAGTCTAACATTTTAAAGAGTTATAAAATGTCTTTAGAGTTGAGAACATAAAATGCCCAAAGAGGAACAGAAACCTTTCAGCTCACATAGACACACACCCTTTGTCTTCTCTGACCAGTATTGCTGGATTTATGTCTACTGAGTGGCAGGAACCCCTAAGTTTATGCTGAAGCGTGCACTTTATGAAGATTCTTGAGGTTACATATCATCGTTTAAAAAGCTTACTCTCCAGAAGCTAGATATTTCTAGAACTTCCTAAACAGGAAAATGCTTACCCTAGCAGGCTCAGTATTCCAGGCTATAGTCTGGGCATATGGTTGCTTAGATTTGCATTCAAGCTTAAAGCCTTAAGACCATAAGCATTACTTTATTACAACCTGATACTGTAGTACAATTATTCCTCCCTTTCCTCATGCACCTTTTGTCTACGAGGGACTTGCATAAGTAACCTAGGATGAAACTGTTTGCAGTATACACGTATCTCTGTGTAAGGGTGTGCAAGAGAAAGAGAATGTGTATTTTGTTAAAACTAGTCTTGGGGAATCAGGTGAATGTGGTCTGAGAGTCTAAACTTTGCCACTAAAAGTAAACGAGCACCGCTGGACAAATCACCAAAATGGAAATAATAATAATTATCCTATCTCAAAGGCTATTTTGTGGATTGAGATAATACATATTAACAATTTTATTAAAACAACTGTTATGTTCTTTTACATCAGTTATTTGTTTTCTAACTTGAATAAATGGGCTAATATTTTCCCAACCTATTTAGATATGAAGTCACCTAAACATTCCTATCAAAGCGATAACTCTCAGGAAATTTCACAAAATGAGTGATTTAGATCATATTAAAAAGCCTGTAACTTTCAGATAAACCTTAAATATTTTTTACCAATATTTTGTAAACTTGCACTGACCATCTAGATTTTTTTCACTTCAATTTGTTATAATGTCACAATTTAAATGCAGTTATTCCTGCAACAGTCTTAAATTTTTACTGGAAGTTTATGATAGTTCTGTGAGGACTGTGAAGGGGTTTTCCAGATGGGATATTTGTAGCATTCGCAACTAGATCCATATATGATTGAAAGAGCTCCGTCACGTATCCGGAGGGTCCCCCTAACCTCCAGGTCAGCAGACTCACGGTGAAATGCAGGCGGGAGTCCCGCACGTAAGCTCTGCTTTGCTTCTGCCGTATGACCCGACCCCTCCGTCCCTTCATCTGTGCCTGACTTCCCTCGTCTGCGACACTGGAAGAATTACACACGTCACCTACTTACTATACAGGAGTACCAACGTAAAGCCTTTAGAAGCACTACAAAAGGTTGGGGTGATATAGTATCTACCAAACATTTAATGCTATTTTGTAAATCAACAATGGTAAAGATTTTTGTTTTTAAACTTAAAAAAGGCGGTTTATAAAATTTTCCCAAGTTTTATACAGGAACTTTAATTAAATGATCTGGATTATCTTACTTAATTATCTAGAAACTCTACCAAAGATTCAAAAAAATAGTTCCTTTCTCTCTGTAATTTCTTTCTTTCAGGACCTCGTCCAGGCAATGTTCCTTAAATCTGTGAAGTTAAGGATGAGAAATTAGAGTCTCGTGATCAACTTAATTCCAAATCTATTTTTGTCATTTTTATCTTAAAACTTTATGAGAAATAATTCTTTCAAAACATAAACTGAAAACTAAACTATCTTTGATTAGGTTTTTAGCTTTTATCATTGCTTTAACAGATATTACATTCATTACCATTAATTTTTGTACAATGGTGCATATATCCTTTTGTTTTACATTATTCATATATTCTAAAATTTTGTTTGATACATCAGTGCTTAAGACTCTTTGAGAAATAGGGGTGCCTGGGTGGCTCAGTCAGTTAAGCATCTGACTCTTGGTTTCCACTGAGGTCATGATCTCACAGTACGTGAGAGTTCAAGCCCGTCGTGGGGCTCTGTGCTCACAGCACAGAGCCTGCTCAGGATCCTCTCTCTCTCCCTTTCTCTCTGCTCCTCCCTCACTCGTGCTCTCTCTCTCTCTCTCCAATAATAAACTTAAGGAAAAAAAAGCTATATGGCTTTTAAAAAAAAAAAAAGCCTCTTTGGGAAATAAAATGTGCTATAAATTAATTTTCTGTATCACTAATACTATTAACATAAAGTTCAACTTCAAACGTCCCTTTCTAGTACTGCTTAACGTTTTTCTAGTAGTGCTTAACGTTGTATTTAAAAAATCAGTTCAGTTCAATTCAATTCAAAGACTACCAAATGCCAATCACTGTAGATGATCTCGTCCTCAGGGAGCTTATAATCTACAGTAGGACAATAGTGTTTAAATGTGTATGTTGTCTATCATTAAACACTTGGGCAAGTGCAGTAACTCTTATTCTGGGATCACATTACTAGTGCACCACAGCAGTAACTTCTGGTAGTCACATGTACATGTGTACAGGACAAACTAAAACTCAATGGATTTTATTTTAATTCTGCAGTTAAAAAAAAAGAAAAATCCCGTTCTTCCTCAAATATTTGTCTTGGGTCAAAATGAGTCATCTGTGATCTCTTTGTTTTTAATCAAGAGCCTGTATCTGCGAGCTGAACAGGCAAGTTAAGCGTGCACACCGGTCTCTATGTAGCAGCAATGGGCACACAAAAAACACTGACGCAGGGAAGTACTGTCAGCAGTCTCTAACTAACTGGCCCAGAAAAAGAACACCATCCTGGTCAAAGGCACTACCATTTCTTTTCCCGACAGACAATCTAAAATGAAAACAGAAAACACAGGAACATTCCACAAGTGATCAGTAAGCGTTTCACAGGATAAAGTACAATATGGAAACCAAAAAGTTGAGAAATACTTTCCAAAGCAAAAGAAAAGGACAAAATGGCATTCACATTCTCCAGTCTACTAAACAGAATAATTACAGTGGATCTCAGAGGAACACTTAATTTTATTGACTAGTTCTTTCATCAAAGTCTTTTTAAAGGATCTAAGTTACAGTAATATTTGTTTCTCATCTTCAATACAGAGAGCTGACCACATTTGCTGATAAAAAAGTAATAGGGGCTACGCATTATTCGATTCCTAGGATTAGGTAAATTGGTCACAGATAAAAGAATTGCAGTGAAACCAACCAACGACCGTCACTGAAAATATGCCAATTCAATCATACCAAAGGACTAAAATACATAGAACTGAACTGATGACACTTTTGAACAAGGTATGACTGAAGGAATACAAAACATTTTACAAATCTGATTAAAAGTCAGATTTTGAAATGTGAAATAAAACTTTGGTGGCTATCTGCCAAATTTCCAGACTGATGTGGAGGTGACATCCCATGCACAACTTCTCCACCGCTACCTTACAAAGAGTTACACGTACACTGATTTTTAAGTAGTGCAATGAAAGGATCTAAATTCTCATATACTCTGGCTCACTATGTAAGCATTTATTTTAAATTCAACCTAGCTTTACTTTAATAATTGGTTTTATACAACTCACCACTTTTGCATCAATTGCAACCTGAGCGAAGCCTTTACGATTACCCCAAATGATGTTGTAGGTTTCATCGCTAATTAGGGCTTCTCGAACTCCACCTGGTGAAATAGCTAACAAGTGACCACTCCTCAGAATTTCAACACATTTTTCTCTTGGTCCATGTAGAGCACAAAATACATCAAGTAATAAACTAAACCCTGTAAGAAACATTAGCATGAAGATATGTCTTAAGTACTTCTTGTCCAATTCTTCAAAACAAAAACATTTGCAACCCACAGAACTTAATATCTACACTTAAATTAGTAAATTCCTTTTTTTACTTCTTTTTAGATCAACAAGAACTCTTAAGGTTTACGTACAATTAATACTGCTGGTAAAGTAACGGCTACTATGACTTACTCATCACTTCCTACTGATCACCTCCTCACGGATCACCTGCTATTCGGGCTACTGGACATATTCAAACTCTTAATTAAAACTCACAAAAACCATGGAAAAGAGGGATTCTGGCCCCCATTTTACAGACAAAGAAAGTTGGCTCAATGAGTCTCTTGCTCGAAGTGACACATCTAGCAAATGGCAGGGCAGACATTCCGGTCCAGGTATGTCTACTCCAAAGCCCCTTCCACTGCATCTCAGGGCCAAACACTGTCTATAGTATTTACTAGAGCAATCAGAAATGATACCCCATCAGCAATCACAAATCTAATCTTCCTTTAGCCCTATAAGAAAGAGAATCACTCAGGAGAATGTAAATCTGACTATGCTTAGCCCTATCAAAATTGGCAAGCCGTAATCAAATCAACTGAAATTCCAAGTTAGATGATGTTACTCTCACAATTAAATTTTTAAAATCAATAATAATAGCAAAATCATTACGAGATTTGGTTTTTTTAAGAGTTTTTAGTAAAGTGAGTATTTAATTCAGTAACAGCCAATTCCAGGTCTTACTATTATACAGTTTTTCAAAGCACAACTATTTATGGATGAAAGAAATAATCCTGTTAGTAACTAAATATTTTAACCAAATCCTACACTGGAACTCTGGAGGGCTGATGTTAGCGTATACATTATTCTTGAGAATGGAAAATTGGGTAGTGAAGACTGTGCAGACTAACCAAACTCCTCACAGGTTTAAGGATCTAAAGCAAGATTATGCATATTATTAAGATTGAAAGACTATTCACCCCCATTATATTAAAAGCTCACTGATTTAATTAGATACATTTTCATAATGGGTTTCATAAATTGATAAATGATAAATTCATAAATGATAAAGGGGAAATTTCAAGCCAAATGCTAAATAAAAATATGCACATTACATATAAAAAGAAAAACAATGCAAGCAACCTAATGTTCTATAAGAGAAAACTAGTCAAGTAAATATTTTAGCCCTACATTAAAACTATTCTTTATAAAGCATGGTACAATGGTAATGCTAACATCACAATTTTATAAAGAAGAACACAAAAGTGATTGCATAACATGCAAAATTATGCAAATGAAAAATGAAGTACAATAAATCAAAACGATAACTGGTTATGTTAGGGTGGTAAGATTATAATGATGCTCTCCTTTTCTCTAGTTTTCAAATTTATTATAAAGTGATCACAATTACTTTCTAAAGAAAAACCTTTCCTGGACAATTTAATCAGAGTACAAATGGCTTTTTAGTACACAAGGACACTCAAAAGATTAACCATGCCTATGAAAGGCACTGTTACTTAATTCACTGCTTGGTGTTTGTCTTTCTGGTTGATGGGTGGCTTTGGCTTTTATTATGCCAGAGAACAAATGATAAACTTTGTTGGCTCATTTCTGGTGATTCAGTGACAAAAGAAAATAAGACTTACTACCAAGGAGTTTATTTTAGAATGGCTTTTTAAAAACAGTTTGAAATCATTTGGTTCATTAATCTTTTTAAAAAGCATAACCCTTTATGAACAGTTTAAGAAGAATATAGTCCTTAACTTTAAGAGTTGTAAGTCTAGCAGGCAAGTCAAGTACGAAAAAGACAGACTCGTAAGGATAGGATTTCCGAGGCAATGTTGTTATATGAAGACAAAATATACCCTCACTGATGTTTTAAGTAAGTTTGATTTGCTAGAATACCAACAGTAATCAAACTCTAATTACTGTGAAGTTAAACTCCAAAAATCAGTATCTCATGGAAAAATTCATCATATGAAAAATCAACTACTTTCTATGGCAAAATATAAATTAATTACTTGGTAAAAGTTACAATTTATTTTTTTAAGTGGAAGTTCAGGATTTAACTTAGACAAATAATAACAAAATAGCTGTTAATAAAGAAAAAAATTAGGTGACATTTTTGACCATGTTTTTATATTTAGATATATTACATAAATCGGATAATTAGATACTCCCAAATTAGAGTTCTAAGCGTGTTACCCTAAAAAGGCAAAAAGCTTTTCCAAATGATCCTAGAGAGCTCAAGGACACAGACTTTAACATAATTTGATCATGTTAACATGTCAAAGTTTACCTGGGATTTTAAAGACAAAGTGATCGGCTACTACTCGGCAAGTCCTGCCTTTATGGATAAAAATTTTAGCCATGAAGTAGTAAAAATCTATGGGAATAGCTCCATGATAAAAAATTATAAGTGCTGGTCCTTCTTCTGGTATTTTTTCCATCCCGTGAACTTCATAACCTGTTAGAAAGACAAAATACAGATGCTTAAAATATATTTATTAGTCTATTTACACTAAAGGATGGTTACTAACTCAGAAACTCGGTCTTTTGTCATTGAAGTGCATGAGCCTTCCTCTTTCTCTTTCCCTCTTCACATAAATCGGTCCCACAGCGATTAGGTGGGCCACAGCAAAGTCGGGGCGGGGAGCAGCAAGACATGCTCCAGCTCAGGCAGGTTGAGGAGGGAGGGCATCCCCATGAGGTGGTCCAGAGTGGGGAATCAGAGCCCAAGCAGAGTTGTGAGTACAACCCCAGAGGGCAACAGCCTAGAACAGGGTGCTGGGGCCTGGGTGGGAAAGGGAGGGAAGCCAGGAGTGGGGACAAACACAGGGGTAGAGGACAGCGTTCAGACACTTCAGGGGCCTAGTATGGGGTGTCAGCCCAAGTGGGGTCAGATGGTATCCTTGAGTAGCACGGGAATGGCAGTGATGAGAGCTTGATTAAATACAGGAGGACTGGTCTAATGAGCCTACACATTAAGGATAACGTGAGCCAGGCTTCTCACTGCTGGAGAAGGTGGCTACAAAAACAGAAAAGGAGAAAACTAGAATAAGGTCTAGCTGTAAGAGAACCTCATTCCCGCCCTAAAAGCAAGAATAAGCGGTGTGTCAGAAAGCTGAGGTCGCTCTCTCCATCAGCTGAACCAAGAGCTCCAATGGGTGTAAGCGCCTCTAATGAGAGGGAAGTTTAAACTTAAGTATGGAGAAGACACTGGTGCCCTAAAAGTAAGCAAGAAGAAAGTAACTGAGATGTTAACAAATTTAAAGGCCAAGCGCTGGTGGCCATTGAGTGCAGAATCCCTGGGAAGCCCAGACATAAGCAAGAGTCCACACTCACTCAGCAACAGTCCTCCAGAGGCCTCAGTGGGTGCTTACAAGAAAAAGTGGGGGCGCAGTAGGCAAGAGACGGAAAAGAGCCCTTGCAAATGGTATCGAGAACAAAACCCCACTTGCTTCTTGGAAGCTTCTCTTGGAAAATCGACACCTGACACTGGGAGAAGTGCAAGAAACTCTTCCACCCTTTCCAGGGAACGGGCACCTGATGCTGGAAAGGACAGAGCTCAGTCCCCTCCTCTCACCCTTGCGTCACCCCGCCATCGCACTCTCAGGGAAAAGTCCACTACTGCTAGGGGAACGCAGAAGCCAAAGCATCTGCCCCTGGGAGGTAGACAGTAGGCCCGGGTTCTGAAATGACATCAAGGAGAGATCGACTCCCCCTGGAAGGAAGGGCAAGAAACTTGCTGCCAACCCCAAACTCCCACCTAGGTAGGGCAGAGTTTGCCTGCCACTGGGAAGAGGAAAAAGGACGCTGAGAAAGCCTCCCACCTGGGCCTCAGGCATTCAGGGACCGGGCCTGAGTGCGGTCCCAGCCAGACCAGGAAAACCGAAGAGTGTCCCTGACACCCCCACCCCACCGCCGGCCTCATGTGGAGTTATAAAGGCAACGATGTGCCCGGCAGTGGCAGATGTACTGGACTGAGGACGCAGGAGGGGTGCTGGGAAACACCACTGTGCACAAGGCAGCTACAGGAGTTTGCATTCTGTGCTGAACGGAAGGTACCTACAGCTACAACAAAACACAACTCCAGTCCACCTACAGGGTAGGCTGAATTAAACGCCACCCCACTCACTAACGGCCTGACAGAAAAAGGTCAATTTTCAGTTATAAATACTATTTACCTCATTTTCTACTTTCTTTTACAAGCAATGCCCAGAATTCAATAAAAAAAGAAATTACGAAACATACAAAGCAGCAAGGAAAAAATCCACTGTCAAGAGATTGTTTAATCAAGAGAACCAGACCCAAAAGTTTAAATCATCGGACGGTAACTTTAAATTAACCATGGTTAATATGTTAAAGGATTTAGTGGAAAAAGGAACACATACACAATCAGATTAGAAATTTCAGCAGATAGAATGAAGTTATAAAAAACAATGAATCAAATGGAAAGCAAAATACTTGAATGAGATCTAAAGAGCAGTAATAGTTCCATGTTAATTTCCTGATTTTAATGGTTTTATTAATGTTAAATAGAAGAACTTCCTTGTTTGTAGGAAATATGCACTAAAAGCATTAAAGAGAGGGTAACGTAGGCACTTCTAGTCAAATGATTTAGGAAAATAAGTTCTTTGTATAATACTTGGAGTATTAATTTTTAAAAAGTCTATGAATAAAAGCAACAATCGTTATTGCTCTCTATGGAAAAACCATGTAAGATCTTAGAATCATAAAATTTATAAGATAAAAAAGAACCTTTGGGTTCCAATCTAACAGACATATTAAAACTTAAGACTATCTTTGGTTGTTAATCAAGGCTACCCAAGGAGTTACACATCTCTAAAACATCAAGTACACTTTATTGAATCCACTGGCTTTTAAAACACAATCTGGACCCTTCTGTGTAAGCTTAATACAGAGTAGTTCTAGGGGAGGAGATTCGTCTTGTTACAAGCAGATTGTAAAAGGGGTAATGAGCAGATCAAGGGGAGTAGTGAAGAGGGCCAAGGTAGGAGACGTCAATTAACTTATAGCTTCCCTGAGATAACACAATCTAGAGTAAAATTTAACAGTGAGTCATAAAATAATTCATTGAGCGCTTGCTTCAGCAGCACATATACGAAAATAATTCATTGATAAAAATAAGAAAACTCTTAAACTCTTGACTCAGTGCAAAATAAAACATCCGTTTAAACTGTTACATACAAATGGGTAACTTAACCACGTTGCAAACTTTGATTTCATTCACAGACATATTTTTTGATATGTTGCAGAGACTGCAGAAATCTCCTGCAGTACAAGTGAAATTAAAGACCCGTGCCACCCCCCGTCTTTCCTTCCTGCCACACTGTAAACCCCACAAAGTCACTGTAAGGAGGAGCGAGTAAATGACAGGATGAAAGGCTGGTGGAAATGGGGAGGGGGACGATCTCTGGAGGCTTCCTTCTAACGTGCTTCAGTTCAAGGCTGGCTTCCTGAGTATACTTGTTTTCTCCTCCGACGCTAAAGAGATGAACCCGTCTACTGCCCTTTAGACTGCTACCAACCACCAGCACATCTCTCATGGCAACCCTGTCCTCTTGGCGGAGGTGGGGGATACAACAGATTTCAGTAAGCTCCACCAATGCTTCAAAGGAAAATACCCTGCATATTTTATCACAAGACTTGGAACTTAACACTCTGAGGAGCCGATGAAATGTGATCATGGTTCTAGTCATAAGATCTGTTCCTCCTTCCCATCTCACTGCTGTCAGGTGTCATTACTGACCTCAGCCTCAGCTGGTCCCAGCAAAAAGAAAAAGTCCACTGAACAATGAAGAAATGAAGAAAGCAAAAGAGATTCGGGGCGCCTGGGTAGGCTCAGTCAGTTAAGCATCTGACTTTGGCTCTGGTCATGTTCTCACGGCTCGTGGTTTGAGCCCCGCATCAGGCTCCGTGCTGACAGCTCACAGCCTGGAGCCTGCTTCCGATTCTGTGTCTCCCTCTGTCTCTGGCCCTCCCCCACTCACACTCTGTCTCTCTCAAAAAAAAATAAACAAACATTAAAAAAAAGAGAGAGAGATTTAAAAATACCTTGAGATAGACGAAAATGGAAATAAACCATAATGAAACTTGCGGGATACAGCAAGAGCAGTTCTAAGAGGGAAGTTCATAATGATAAATGCCTATCTCAAGAAAACAAGAAAAATCTCAGATAAACAACGTAACTACACCTCAAGAAACTATGAAAAGAACAAAGGGAGTAAAAGGAAGGGAATGCCAAAGATTAGAGAGGAAATAAAAAAACAATATATCAATGAAACCAAGGGCAGTTTCTTTGAACAGATAAACCAAATTGACAAGCCTTTAGCTAGACTCACCAAGAAAAAGACAGCACTCAAAAAATGAAATCAGAAATCAAAGAGGGGACTTTACTACTGATACCACAGAAAGACAAAGGGTAAGAGAGTCCTATGAACAATACATGCCAAGAAACTGGACAACCTACATGAAATGAATAAATTCTGAGAAACATACAACCTTCCAAGACTGAATCATGAAGAAATAGAAAATCTGAACAGACCAATTACAAGTAAGGAGACTGAAGCAGTAATCAAAAACCTCCCAACAAACAAAAGTCCAGAAGACGGCTTCACTGGTAAATCCTACCAAACATTCAAAGAGACACTGATACCAATCCTCAAATTCTTCCAAGAAATAGAGGAGCGAACTCTCCCAAACTCATTTTATGAGGCCAGTTTTACCTTAATACCAAAACCAGACAAGGGCATTACAAGAAAAAAAAATTATAGGGGTGCCTGGATGACTCTGTCAGTTAGGCATCTGACCCCTGATTCGGCCCAGGTCATGATCTTATGGTTCATGGGTTCCAGCCCCGCGTTGGGCTCTGCCCTGACAGTGTGGAGCCTGCTTGGGATTCTCTCTCTCTGCCCCTCCCCTGCTCGCACGCTCTTTCAAAATAAATAAATAAACATTTTTTAAAAAAAGAAAAGAAAATTATAGGCTGATCAATACCCTTGATGAACACAGATGTAAAAACCCTCAACAAAACATTAGCAAACCAAATTCAGCAATGGATTAAAAGGATCATACACCACAATCAAGTAGAATTTATTATACGGATAGAGAAATGGTTCAACATTTGCAAATCAATCAACATGATACACAACAGTAACAAAATGAATAAAAATCATATGATCATCTCAATGGATGCAGAAAAAGCATCTGACAAAGTCCAATATCCATTTAAGATAAAAATTCTCAACAAAGTGAGTATACAGGCAATGTATCTCCACATAACAAAGGCCATTTGGACAAGCTCACAGCTAACATCACATTCAATGATAAAAAGCTGACAGTTTTTCCTCTAAGATCAGAAACATGACAAGGATGCCCACTCTCACCACCTGTATTCAACATAGTACTGGAAGTCCTAGCCAGAGCAATTAGGCAAGAAAAAGAAGTAAAAGGCATCCAAAATGGAAAGGGAGGAGTAAAACTGTCACTATTTACAGATGACATATTGCATACAAAAAACCCTAAAGACTCCACCAAAAAGCAGAGAAAGAGGAACACTTCTGCTCTGCTGGTGGGAATGCCAACTGGTGCAGCCACTCTGGAAAACAGTAAAGAGGTTCCTCAAAAAATTAAAAATAGAACTACCCTACAACCCAGCAACTGCACTACTAGGTATTTATCCAAAGGATACAGAGGTATTCATCCAAAGGATACAGGAGTGCTGATTCGAAGGGGCACATGCACCCCAATGTTTATAGCAACACTATCAACAATAGCCAAAGTACAGAAAGAGCCCAAACATCCATAGGCTGATGAATGGATAGTTGTGTGTGTCTATATGCATATATAAATATCTGTGTGTGTGTATATATATATATATATATACACACACATATGTGTGTATATATATATATATACACACACACATATAGACACACACAATGAAAGATATATATGTATATATACACAAAAGAAGTTGTATACACACACACACACAAAACCATGCAATGGAATATTTTTCAGCGATCAAAAAGGATGAAATCTTGCTACTTGCAACAACGTGGATGGAACTAGAGTGTATTATGCTAAGTGAAATAAGTCAGTCAGAGAAAGTCTATGACTTCACTCATACGTGGGTTTTAAGACACAAAACAGGTGAACTTAAGGGAAGGGAAGCAAAAATAATATCAAAACAGAGAGGAAGACAAACCATAAGAGACTCTTAAATACAGAGAACAAACTGAGGGTTCCTGGTGGGGTGATGAGTGGGGAGTGGGAAGGGTAGGCTAAACAGGCAAGGGGCATTAAGGAGGACACTTGCTGGGATGAGCACTGGGAGTTATACCTAAGTGATTAATCACTAAATCCTATTCCTGAATTCATTATTACACTATATATTAACTAATTTGGATTTAAATTGAAAAATAATAATAACAACTAGTAAAATTAAATTAAAAAAGACTCCATCAAAAAACTGTTAGAACTAATAAATTCAGTAAAGTTGCAGGATCAAAATCAATATACAGAAATTTACAGAAATTAGTGTTTCTGTACACTAACAACAAGAGAAAATAAGAAAACAATTTCATTTATAATTGCATGGAAAAGAATAAAATATCTAGCAATAAATTTAACCAAGAAGGTAAAAAGACCTATACCCTGAAGACTATAGGATATTAATGAAAGAAACCTGAAACACAAATGGAATGATATCCCATACTCACGGATTAGAAGAATTAACATTGTTAAAATGCCCATACCTGCGAAAGCAGTCTACAGATTCAATGTAATCCCTGTCAAAATTTCAATGGCATTTTCCACAGAAATAGAACAAATAATCCTAAATCATTTGTATGAAACCACAAAAGATCCCAAAGAGCCAATGCAATCATGAGAAAGAACAAAGCTGGAGGCATCATGTTCCCAGATTTCAAACTACGCAACAGTTTGAAAAACTGTTGAAAAACTAAACAGTCTAGTTATCAAAACAGCATGATATTGAAATAAAAACAGACACACAGATCAGTAGAACAGAATAGAGAGCCCAGAAATGAACCTACACATATACGGTCAATTTTTGACAAAAGGGCCAAGAATATGCAATGGGGAAAGAACAGTCTCTTCAATAATCAGTGTTTGGGAAAACTGGACGGTCACGTTCAAAAGAATAAAACTGATAAAGAAAAGAATGTACTATCTTCCACGTACAAAAATTAATTCAAAATGGATTAAAGATTTGAAGGTTAAGACCTGAAACCACAGAATTCCTAGAAGACTGCCTAGGAAGTAAGCTCCCTGATATCAGACTTGGCAATGATTTTTTATTTTTTATTTATTTATTTTTTTTTTGGCAATGATTTTTTAAACCAGGTTCCAAAATCAAAGGCAACAAAAAGAAATATACAAGTGGGGCTGTATCAAACTAAAAGCTTCTGTACAGCAAAAGAAACCATCAACAAAATGAAAAGGCAACATACTGAATAGAAGATATTTGCAAAAACCATATATCTGATAAGCAATTAATATGCAACCCACAAAGTCATACAACTCAAAAATAGCAAAAAAAAAAAAAAAAAAAAAAAAAAAAGAGGAGAAATGGACAACCATAAAAAATGGACAGAGAGGGGCGCCTGGGTGGCGCAGTCGGTTAAGCGTCCGACTTCAGCCAGGTCACGATCTCGCGGTCCGTGAGTTCGAGCCCTGCGTCGGGCTCTGGGCTGACGGCTCAGAGCCTGGAGCCTGTTTCCGATTCTGTGTCTTCCTCTCTCTCTGCCCCTCCCCCGTTCATGCTCTGTCTCTCTCTGTCCCAAAAATAAATAAACCTTGAAAAAAAAAATTAAAAAAAAAAAAAAATGGACAGAGAGAGGATCTAAATAGACATTTTCCCAGATATAGAGGCGGCCAACAGGTACATGAAAAATGTTAAGTATCACTAACCATCAGGGTGTTCACACTGAGGTATCACTTCACATCTGTTACAATAGCGATTATCAAAAAAACCAATAAATAACAAGTGCTGGTAAGGGTATAGAGAAAATCAATTTTCAATTTTTGGTGCCATAAATACAGTATTTATATTTCTCTGTCTGACTTATTCCACTTAGCATAATGTCTTCAAGGTCCATCCATATTGTTGTAAATGGCAGGATTTCCTTGTTTTTAATGACTGAATAAGGAAAACTCACTTTTAAAAGAGTATCACATCCTAATAAAATACAATGCCAAGTTACCATAAAAAAACATTAAAAGAGGCTAAGAACTATGTCTTTTACTTCCTCTGAGCCATAAATGTATCTTTAAAAGTACCTCAGAAAAATAAAAACACCCCAAAAGTATACATTCTATTACAAAATGAGCTTAGTGCTTAAAGTTACCTAAATTAAATCATGTCTCCTGAAATATGAATAAATTCAAATTCCTCACGCTATATATTATCCTGAAATGGGGGGGCGTATATGTAAGAGGGGGGATACATATTCCCAGTAAGTACTGTCAACAATGCCAAAGAAGTTTCGTGGGCCTGTTTTAAAGACAACAAACGACAGGAGCCGACACCGACGCAGTCTGTGCAGAAGGGCACACGTGGAAAGCGGAAGTATTATCTTGTCTCACGTAAAACCACCATTAGAGGGTGTGAGACTTGTAATGACCGGTAGGAGCACTAGTTAATTCACGAGTAAATATTCCGAATTCAGTACATCAAAGGTATACGGCTCCTGGTTGCACCTGCTATTCAGGTATTCACCATGACATGTGACCTTGAATCCCCAACCTGGGACAAACTTTCCACAGAGCACAGATCGCAAGAGCACAGGCTTTAGAGCCTGATATCGGAGATTGTATCCTGGCTCGTCTTCCTAGCTTCCTAGCGTGCCTTGGGCAAATAACAACCTCTCTGTTCCTCAATTTCCTCACAGGAAAACTGCAAAATGGAGATAATATGTAGACTCTATCTATTCTAAGATTTAAAAGAATTAATGTACATCAAGCATTCAACAGTGTATGGCATACTAAATGCTCAAAAGACTTATAAGAATGTAGGTCATATTAAAATGATGACACATTGGCCTAATAAGCGTGTTACTGGTAATCTGTGCTAACAGCAGCCTTATACTTCCATGATATATATTTCCTCCAGTACCTATTTCAAAATCTGTGCTTCCTTCTGTGTATTTCTGTGAAACGATTTTGATGCTTAACATGAAATAGAAAGCACATCTTTGTTAAACGCCTACTGAATTTTTGTATAGTCCTTAAGCAAAAATGATGAATAAGATAAAAATTGGTAGAGAAAAACACCAAGTCCTTGATAACAGGCCACAGGAGGGCAATTCTCATGATGGCCAAAGAACCACCAATCATTAAATGTAAAACATCACAATCTCTCAAATGATAAAGAAAAGAATGAATATCCTGGAGAGAAACTTATTACTATCTCATTTCTTCAAGAGACATAATAACCTCTGAAATGAAGCAAACAGAAAATGGATAAATTTTGGTATACAAACTATATTTAACATTATTAGTTAATAATTCTTTTTCAAAAAAAATCTAATTTGACTAGGAAAGTTCAAACTTACTTTGAACAAGATGGAATTAAACACTAAATAATTAAAGCATTTAAATAATTAAACCTATTTTCAAAATAGGTTTCTAAACCGTTTTAATTAGTTTCTTACTCTTAGATGTCTCACATATGCACTTTTATATTTTACGTTATCGTAACAGCCTACACTGTTGTATGGTTCTTTAAGAAAAAGTAACATGTTTGAAAACAATCATTTAGGGGCTCCTGGGTGGCTCAGTCGGTTGGGCCTCCGACTTCAGCTCAGGTCATGATCTCACAGCTCGTGGGTTCGAGCCCCGCATCAGGCTCTGTGCTGACCGCTCGGTCTGGAGCTGGTTCCAGATTCTGTGTCTCCCTCTCTCTGACCCTCCCCTGCTCGCACTCTGCCTCTCTGTCTCAAAAATAAACAAACACTAAAATTAAAACAAAACAAACAAAACAAAAAAAACCCAATCATTTTAAAAAAGACAGTAAACGCACAAAGCATGCAGACAGATGAAAGGAAATAGGGAAATATCCCTTGTACTTTTCAGTATCAAGAACGATAGACAGTTTCAGTGCCACACACGTCAACGGCAACACAGACAGCAGGGGACTCTTGCTTACCGTGCCAAACTGCTGCGTGTCCGTCCCAGAGAGTCGCCACCGTCTTCCTTGCACCGTCCCATAAATTATGAGAGTAGGCTTCTTTTAATACATTCTTCCTCTTATAAATGTGTAAGAAAATAATAGTAAGATAGAGAAGAAAGATAGTAAAGTAAGGAAGTATTAAAAGTATTAGTGGTGTAAAAACCCACAAGAGATAGTTTGCAAAATTCAAATAGTCCTCCAACTGCTCCACACCAAACCATCCTTCGAGGATGTGAATCAGACAAGTCATATAGGGCACAGAATCCTGTCCTATACCGCAGGTTTGATTTCTGTCTATCATCTTTCTTTAGGTGAAAATGACAAATTCAGTCTCTTTCTTCATTGTCATGGTAGGTCTTTAATTTTGCCACTAGAAGGGAAAAATAATCCAATGTTATTCTCTTCACAACTGAGAAGTGTTTCAGTCTACATAAATACTATACAGAATCATTTTTTAAAATTTTTCTTTTAATGTTTATTTTTGACAGAGAGAGAGAGAGAGACAGAGCATGAGCAGGGGAGGGGCAGAGAGAGAGGGAGACACAGGGAGAGGGAGAGGGAGACACAGGCTCCAGGCTCCGAGCTGTCAGCACAGAGCCCGACGCGGGGCTCGAACTCACAGACCACGAGATCATGACCTGAGCCAAAGTTGGACGCTCAACCAACTGAGCCACCCAGGTGCCACCTTTTTTTTTTTTTAATTTTTTAATGTTAATTTATTTTGAGAGAGAAACAGAGAGCAAGCAGGGGAGGGACAGAGAGACAGGGAGACACAGAATCCGAAGCAGGCTCTAGGCTCTGAGCTGTTAGCACAGAACCTGACATGGGGCTCAAACCCACGAACTGTGAGATCATGACCTGAGCTGAAGTCGGATGCTTAAAAAACTGAGCCACCCAAGCGCTTATTTCATTTTTTTTTTTAATGTTTGTTTATTTTTGAAAGAGAGAGAGAGAGATCACCCCCAGGGGAGTGGCAGAGAAAGAGGGAGACACAGAATCCCAGACAGGATCCCGGCTCTGAGCTGTCAGTCAGCACAGAGCCCCACATGGGGCTCCAGCTTACAAACCGTGAGATCATGACCTGAGATGAAGTCAGATGCTTAACCAACTGAGTCACCCAGGTGCCCCTATAGAATCATCTCTTAATACCAAAAAGGAGTACATTGTTCATGGTTAACTTTGTTGCAGACTTAAATGTGAAAATTATAAGGCTTCATTTGCATGCTCATGAAGCATGTCAGGTTTAGCTTTTGAAATAACTCACAAGCTATAATTGAGAAGGAAAATAAACCTGATGAAGAATGAGATTTCGGATTGATCTTAACAATTTGACTTACATCTTAAGTGGATCACACTGAATGTTTGTATCTTAAATTAGGCTATGTTGAGATAACTGCTCTTCACAAAAGAAAGCATCAATATTTGAATCAATAAAAGTAACCCAATTCTTTAGGAAATGATGACATACATTTGTGTGTACTGTCCTTTACAAGCAGGTTTACAAAAAATTTCTCTATTCTTTTGACATTATGCAATAATAAAAATTTATCAGTGTCATTTTTATCTTATAGTCACTAAAATTTCTCTTAAGGCTTCAATGACTGAAACTATAGCCATACAATTATTTCATGCCACTTATCTCTAAACCAGTCACTTAACTTACCAGAAATTAGGCAAATATCTTGTCCCAATCTTCAGTGTATATGTTCTGGAAAACACAGTATACAAAGAAAAATACGCTTAAAAATATATAATCATTAATATCTAGAGTTAGAATTTCCATAAAATAAATAGCAAAAGACATTCACATATGTGTGACAAATATTATAACCCCACACTAGTATATCAGTTAAATCATTCTCGTGACCAATGCTTTAGTGAGGACAACGCTATACGCTTATTTCCAGTATATAAAGCCCCACCTAAGACTTTCTTTTAAAATTCAGAGCTAGGTGTGCCTGGATGGCTCAGTAGGTTAAGCACCGGACTTAGGCTCTGGTCACGATCTCATGGTTTGGGAGTTCGAGCTCCACGTCGGGCTCTGTGCTGACAGCTCAGAGCCTGGAGCCTGTTTCTGATTCTGTGTCTCCTTCTCTCTCTGCCCCTCCCCTACTTCACACCGTGTCTATCTCTCTCAAAAACAAATAAGCACTAAAAAAAATTCAGAGCTATAAAAAATTTTTGCTTCTTTGGAGAAAAAGTATGAAAGTAAAATGTATAACTGAACATGTCTCTTTTTAGTAACTTTGCCAAATAATAAGTTGATGGTCAAATATGATATTCAATGATATAATTACATTAGCTCTTATGATCATGTTCTCTACACAAGATTTCCTTCTTTCAATCCTGTTTTCTTAGGTTCTGATTCTATTCTTAGAGACATTTTGTCATCACTGCATACGACATAGTCTTTACAAAAATCATCTCAAACCCTTTGTAGATGAGACAAGAAGACATAGTTAAAGAAAGGGGTGGAGGAAGAGGTAGAGACAGATACACAACAGCAGTTATACGTTCGTTGTCTTTATGCCAAGATTATCTTGCTCCCTGACTTATTGGCAGGGCCTGCAACCTGACTTGCTCTTCCAGGGGTGGAGGATTTAGTCTAATTTCCTTGTCACCAACGGCAGTGATTGTGAGAAATGTGGGCCTGTGATGATAAGAGAAGCTAAACACGGCACATGCTAAGCCCACAAGCTGGGCTTTATTTTTTTCACTGAAGTATATTTGACACACGATGCTATGTTAGTTTCAGGTGTTCAACATAGTGATTCAAAAACTCTGAATGTTTTGCTGAGTTCACCACAAATGTAGCTGCCATTTGTTACCATACAGTGACGTGGGCTTCAATTACATCATATTCTCATCAACCCATCTGAAGACTTGAACCCCTATAACGTATCAGGATGTGGTCATTTAGAAGGCAATATAAACATAGCAAAACTTACTACTTTTTAAAATTAGAGCTTTCCCCCAGTAACATGGCTAGAACTACGAAAATGGAAAGTAAGTGTTGATGACGATGTGGAGAAATTAGTACCTTCATATGTTGTCGGTGGGAGTAAAAATGATGCAGCCAGTGTGGAAATAAATCAGTTCGGCAATTCCTCAAAAAGCTACACGCAGAGTTACCTTATGACCCAACAATTCTACTGCTAGGTATGTATCCCAGAAAACTGAAAACACACATTCACACAAAAATTCGTATATGAATGCTGATGGCAGAATTACTCCTAAGGACCAAAAAGTGGAAACAATACAAATGCCCATCAACTAATGAATGGATAAACGAAATGTACTACACCCAAACAATAGAATATTATTCAGTCATACAAAGAGGTACTGGCTCATGTTACAACAGGCATGAACCTTAAAAACATACGAGGTAAAAAAAAGTCAGACACGAAAGGCCGCCTTTTACATGATTCCATTTATATGAGATTCCCAGAAGAAGATAATCAGTAGAGACAGAGAGGCAAGTGGCTTCCAGGGGCTGGAGGAGAGGGCAATGAGAAGTGACTGCTAATGGAAGTGGAAGTGTCTTTTGGGAAGAATGAAAAGGTTCCAGAATTAGATAGTGGTAATGGCCGTACAACCTTGTGAATATGCCAAAAACCATCAAGTTGTACATTTCAAAATGGTCCATGTTATGGTGAATTACACCTCCACAAAAAGAGCTTTTAAAAAATGTTCATAAGTTAAAGTTTATGATGGCTTCTCAAATATGTTAAAAGGAGCTTCTCCTAGGCCTGAAAACCAATCATTTTGATGATCCGACCCTTACTGCTTAATACAATTGCCCCCTCTAAACTAGTCTCATTTCTGATTTTAATAGGATCATAAACTCTTGTGATTTTAAAACCTTCTTTAGTACCTCCCCCGCTCAAAATTGGTAATAGAACTATACCTCTAATGTTCAATTACATTTTCAGTTATCACACATACTTAACAAACACATACAACGAAGAGGGACAGCGCACAGGCGCACATCCAGGGAGAGAAGTTATGTGGATATCTTCATGCACAGTCCCTGAACTGTGCCCCCGTGCTGCAGGAAAGGGCCTCCTCCAAAATGGTCATCCTCGATTTTGATTTAAGCCCTTTCAGAACCGGAAACTCAAAAGTTGTCCAATTCCATCTTCAAAACCATCCATCAATCCACAAAATATCGTCCATATACTTACCTGACTGTAACTTTTCCCTGCCGGACCTAGTTCTACACCATAGAACTTCTTCTGTGAGACACGGCACAGCTATGATAAGCTGTGAAATCCCGTTTTCTAGTCAGAATCCTGAATTCTTTTGGGGCGCCTGGGTGGCTCAGTTGCTTAAGCGTCCAACTTTTGATTTGGGCTCAGGTCATGACCTCACAGTTCTTAAGATGGAGCCCTGCGTCAAGGCCCTGAGCAATCAGTGCACAGCCTGCCGGGGAGTCTCTGTCTCCCAGTCTCTCTGCACCCCTTGGCCCCCTTGCGTGCGCTCTCAAAAATAAATAAACGTTAAAAAAAAAAAAATCTCAGTTCTTTCAACCACTCCTCAGACCCTACAGTCATAACCTCTCACCACTCCGGTCACTCCCTGTGACGGACTCCAGTTTGATATTGAGAGCAACAGGTACAGTAACCCACCTGTGCCTCAACTTGCTAAAATCTGTAAAACTGGGATACGGTAATAGATACACTACGTTAGATGACGCTAGGTCATGATGCTGTGGAGAAAAATCTACAGCGGGGTAATCGGAATATGGAGCTCCACAGCAGGCAAGAGGGTAGGAGGGGGTTGCGATGTTTTAATATCATAGCCCAAGAAGGACTCCTGAAAGGTACATTTGAGCGGAGACCTGAGGAAGTGAGGAAGCAAATGATGTGGGAATTTGGAGAATTCCTGGCTAAAATAAAAGCAGACGCAGAGGGTGTGTACTTGGTAAGGTGAGGAGCAGCAGGGTAGCAGGCTGAGAAGCGTGAAGGGAGAGGGGTCAGAAATGGGCAGAGAGGTAGCACTGTGGAACTCGCTAGGCCAGCTTTCATCTTAAGTGAGCTGGAGAGGGCACCAGAAGAGACAGACAACCTGACTGCAGCTTTAAGTGACCACTGTGTTGAGAATACACTGCATAGGGAGCAAAAGAGAAGTTAAGGCAGTAAGTGAAATGCTGAAAATGGCTCAGACAAGGCTAACAGAGTGAAGGTCTGTAAGAGACCATCAGTTTCTGGATCTATCGTAAAGATAAAGCCACTGGAATTGCTGATGAACGTCTGCAGAATGTGAGTGAAAGAGAGAAGTCTGGGAGGACTGCAGTTTTGGCAATGTGGGCTTGTATTCCAGGGGACTCTGTCACTTCCCGTGTGACCTAGGCAGACCTAATATTGCTATGATCACCACTGTTATTAGCTAGCTTGAGAAAAGACGGAGTTACAGGAAGAACCGGTTTGGGAGTGGTCTCGACATCAGAAATTCAATTTAGAACATGTTAAGATTCTAGTAGACATCCAAGTGAAGACCTTTAACAGGCAGCTGGACATACAGGTCAGCAGGAAAATCAAGACTAGAGGAATACAGACATATATTCCTCCCGGGAGGGGGGGGGGGGAATCTAGAATGAAAAAGAGTCCCCAGGACTGAGCCTTGCAGCCCTCAACATTTTAGAAGTTGGGAAAACCATGAGGAACCAACACTCTCCTTCCAGGAATGGCACCCTGTGTGTCAAAGTAAGGAAAGAGTACTCAGCTGTTTCAAATGATACTGAGAGGCCTAAGAAATAATCATTGATCACTGCGTTTTACAACAGAGACATTGACAAACCCTGATAATTAAGAAATATTTTGATACAGTGAGGATGAAAGTCAGGTGGAGTAAATTCATGAAAAAAAAGAGCAATGAACTGGAAACAGCAAATATGGACAACTCTGCAGAGAAATGCTGACACAAAAAGGAACAGAAAAATAGGGTGAGTATCTAGAAGGGAATGTGGGTCAAGTTTGTTGTTGTTTTAAGATGAAAGAAAACAGCAAGCTTTAATACCAATGGTAATGGGTCAATGGGAGAGTAAGAAAGAGATGATGCAGGAGAGGAATAATGTTGGGACCGGTCCTTGACTAGACCACAGGGGACAAATACAGCGTATAAGACAGGGGATGGCCCAGAGAAGACTATGCCATTGGGTTATTAATTCATTTACTCAACATATACTTACTAAGCAAGTAGTTCGTGCTCCACACTATTCTAAACACTTGAGGATACATCAGTAAACAAAATCATATGAGAAAATCAGGGTGCCTGTGTGGTTCAGTTGGTTAAGCGTCCGACTTCAGCTCAGGTCATGATCTCACAGCTCGTGGGTTCGAGCCCCATGTCGGGCTCTGTGCTGACAGCTTGGAGCCCAGAACCTGTTTTGGATTCTGTATCTCTCTCTCTCTCTGCCCCTCTCCTGCTCACGTTCTATCTCTCCCTCCTTCAAAAATAAATAAATATTAAAAAATCATATGAGAATGGGGCGCCTGGGTGGCTCAGTCAGTTGAGCGTCCGACTTCGGCTCAGATCGTGATCTCACAGTTTGTGAGTTCAAGCCCTGCCTTCGGGCCCTGTGCTGACAGCTCAGAGCCTGGAACGTGCTTCGGATTCTGTGTCCCCTTCTCTCTCTGCCCCTTCCCCACTTGTGCTCTCTCTCTCTCTCTCTCTCTCTCTCAAAAATAAATAAATGTAAAAAAAAAAAATTAAAAAAACCCATATGAGAAAACATATGTAAAGCACTTACAATAATATGTCTGGCACATAGTAGGCACCTAACAAATACCAGCTAAATATAGACCTTACCTGTGTTCCTTCAAATCCGTGACAAAAAATGTGGACCAAGACAGTGCCCTAAAACCTGCCACTAAAGAACTACCAGAGGAGTCTGAATAACAAGCCTTTGAGTGGATAAATACTTACTTTCCATATGAAAATTGGCTTTAGAAGTCAATGAATGCAACCTCTTAATTTTGCAGAAACCAGTTAAAAAGAGAAAGCCAAGTTCACTTGCCTAAAGTTACTAAATTAATTCAGTGAAGAACCAAGGACCAAAATTAAAATCCAGTTCCTACTTCCTACTCTGGTTTTCACTACATTCTCTGTAATATCTCTGTCCCCCTCTCTCTAACAGAAAGCTGAAAATATTAAGATTGCAATTTCTGTCTTCCCACTACTTCTGCCTGGCCCTTGTCCCCCTCCAATTTACCACGGGCTATATTGGACTCCTTACCACTTTGTTTTGATCCAATTAAAAACTATAGTGGTTAAAAGTGGTTTGGGGGCAGATACAGTATTTTAATTACCAAAATAACAGGTTATTTCCAACCAAAAAAAAAAAAAAAATCTACAATCAAACACAGTCCTCGCATCACATATTAAAAAAGTATCGTAATGCAGGGGCGCCTGGGTGGCGCAGTCGGTTAAGCGTCCGACTTCAGCCAGGTCACGATCTCGCGGTCCGTGAGTTCGAGCCCCACGTCAGGCTCTGGGCTGATGGCTCAGAGCCTGGAGCCTGTTTCCGATTCTGTGTCTCCCTCTCTCTCTGCCCCTCCCCCGTTCATGCTCTGTCTCTCTCTGTCCCAAAAATAAATAAACGTTGAAAAAAAAAATTAAAAAAAAATATCGTAATGTTGACATTGATAGTGAAGAACATTTATTGTAATTGACTTTACACACTTTAAAATAACAACATTTCAAAAACTAATAAATCAGAACAGAGGATTTCTTGTTTTCTGTAAAAACTTAATAAATCTGTTTAAAAAAATTTTGGGGGGAATGCAAACTGGTACAGCCACTCTGGAAAACAGCATGGAGGTTCCTCAAAAAGTTAAAACTAGAACTACCCTACGACCCAGCAATTCCACTACTAAGTATTCATCCAAGGGATACAGGTGTGCTGTTTCGAAGGGGCACATGTACCCCAATGCTTATGGTAGCACTATCAACAATAGCCAAAGTGTGGAAAGAGCCCAAGTGTCCACTGATGGATGAATGGATAAAGAAGATGTGGTCTATATATACAATGGAGTATTTATTACTCGGCGATCAAAAAGAAGAAATCTTGCCATTTGCAACTACGTGGATGGAACTAGAGGGTATTATGCTGAGCGAAATTAGTCAGAGAAAGACAAATATATGACTTCACTTATAGGAGGACTTTAAGATCCAAAAAGATGAACATAAAGCAAGGAAAGCAAAAATAATATAAAAACAGGGAGGGGGACAAAACATAAGAAATTCTTAAATACAAAGAACAAACAGGGTTGCTGGAGGGATTGTGGGAGGGGGAAGGGCTAAATGGGTAAGGGGCATTAAAGAATCTACTCTTGAAATCATTGTTGCACCATGTGCTAACTTGGATGTAAACTATAAAAAATAAGTAAGTTATAGAAAGTAAAAAGAAAAAAAATTTTTTAATATTTTTATTTTATTTTTGAGAGACAGAGAGACAGAGCATGAGGAGGGAAGGGACAGACAGAGAGGGAGACACAGAATCTGAAGCAGGCTCTAGGCACTGAGCTGTCAGCACAGAGCCCAACACAGGGCTCGAACTCACGAGGTGTGAGATCATGACCTGAGCAGAAGTCGGACGCTCAACTGACTGAGCCACCCAGGCACCCGGAAATAGATCTATTTTTTAAACACCCATTATCAGTACTTTTAGCACCATGGATGGCAGCAGATCAATTTTTTACTTTCAGTATATAAGCCACATTAAGGATACATTGAAAATGCCAATTAAATTAAATACTCGCTGAAATAAAATTAATTTTCCCTTTTCCTTTCTGCATTTTTAATAGTTGTTTAACAGGGGGATAGGACTCAGTTCTAGCGAATAAGCATCTACTTCAAACCATCAATAAAACTGAAGTTTATCTAATATCTCCATTAAAACATCTGGCAAACCTAGTAATTTTATCTTTAAAACAATACCTTTTAGGGGCGCCTGGGTGGCTCAGTCGGTTTAAGTGTCCGACTTCAGCTCAGGTCATGATCTCACGGTTTGTAGGTTCGAGCCCAGCATCAGGCTCTGTGCTGAGAGCCCGGAGCCTGGAGCCTGCTTTGATTCTGTCTCCCTCTCTCTCACCCCTCCCCAAGCTCACTTGCGTGCGAGCTCTCTTCTCTCACCCTCTCTCAAAAATAAACATTAAAAAAGTAAAAACCAGGGGCACCTGGGTGGCTCAGTCGGTTAGGCATCCGACTGCAGCTCAGGTCATGATCTCACAGTCCATGAGTTTGAGCCCTGCGTCGGGCTCTGTGCTGACAGCTGGGAGCCTGGAGCCTGCTTCAGATTCTGTCTTCCTCTCTCTCTGACCCTCCCCTGCTCATACTCTGTCTCAAAAACAAACTTAAAGAAAATTTAAAAAATTTCAAAATAAATAAAATAAAAAATAAATAAAAACAATTACCTTTTAGATTTCAAGTTTCAAACTCTAGGTTCTGATATGAACTACCTTCCAAGGTTTGGGTTTTTTTTTTTTTAACCCTAGAATGTCCTTCAACTTGTAGCTAGAATCTTGCATTCTGATAATTACTGTTCTACCTTTTTTTTCCTTAACGTATCCTCACCCCCCAAATGTTGCACATCTATACGGGTGTATCTGTAACTGGGCAGCACTCTTACGAGCCTATCTCGGACACCAGGTGGAAATAAACATTTCATTCGAAAATTAATCTTCTATTTCTATCCAATAGTAAATGCGACCAAAACATTAAGGACTGTGTTAAACATCCGGATTTTATCTCAGCTTTAACACAGACTAAAGAAGTAACAATGCCATTTCAGCATTAACAGCACAACCAAGTCCTGAAATGCTCCAACCACCCCCAAGTCTGAACTTGCTTCTTTAAGGAAGCTGCCTGGGCAGTCTCAACGAATACCACACACCAAATACTAACTTCCTTTTTCAAATCTAGCAGTGGTGTTCCAGTTTTCGGCGTCCTGGTTATGTGCACACGCATTTTTCTTACGCATCAGCAGCCTGAGGGCAGAAATCTGTTCCACAGGCTGCAAACCCCAGGGACCAACGCAGTGCCTGCGCGCACAAAGCAGGTACCCACTCAAACTATTAATAGCACACGAGCGATCGGATACACAGTTTCGTTTAGTCCTTCCAGCCGCCTGAGGAGGCAGGTACTATTATTCACCGTTCCTATTTTTTTTTTCAACGTTTATTTATTTTTGGGACAGAGAGAGACAGAGCATGAACTGGGGAGGGGCAGAGAGAGAGGGAGACACAGAATCGGAAACAGGCTCCAGGCTCTGAGCCATCCGCCCAGAGCCTGACGCGGGGCTCGAACTCACGGACCGCGAGATCTGACCTGGTTGAAGTCGGACGCTTAACCGACTGAGCCACCCAGGCGCCCCTCACCGTTCCTATTTTACAGATGATCACAAAGAGGCTCAGAAGGGTTACTTCGCTTGCCCGGATCACAGAGGCAGCAAAGGGGCATCAAACAAGGATTCCAAGCCTGACTCGTCCGGAAGCCTTCTTAACCACTTATTCCTGCGGCCTCTCCCGTACACGCCCGTGATCACCCCAGAAGGCTCGATTCGGATCCCGGAACCAGAGGTCGCCGGGCAAGCCCCAGAGGCCTATAGCGAGGTTCTGACACCTCGCCCCGCCGCCTAAGTTGAGATGAAACGAGGTTTTTAAGCGCGGGGGTTGGGGGGGGGGGGGGGAGGAGTGATGCGCGGCGGAGTGAAAGGGCTCGTTGTGACCCAGGCAGGGCCACCCCTCCCCGCCACTCCGGTGCCCGAGCTTATACCGAGTACTGCGGGAACCGCCGGGGACTCCGGGACTGCCTCACCGAGACGAGACTCGCGGTCCTGGCGGCTCAGAGCCCCGCGAGACTGATGCGGAGCCGCGCGCCGGAAACGGAGGACAAGAGGAGGACCGACGCGCCTCTGGCGGGAGGTGCAGAGGCGGCTCGCCCTCACCCTCGAGCAGCGGCGGGAGCCCTTCGGTGGCTCAGCGACCCAGGGAAGCGGAGAAATTTCAGCGGCCAGCGTTCTCCCCCCACGAGCAACCTGTGAAGAAAAAGACAAACACCGGCGCCAGCCCGGACCGCGTTGAGCCGTGCACCGCCTGCCGCCCCGCCCCTTCCGGGGCCGCCAGGAGCCGTTTCCGGTGGCGGCCCCTCTGCTCGCTCCCGGCTCGAGCAACCCCGGGCCCGATTGTAAACTCCTGACGTTCCCCCCCCCCCCCCCCCCCCCACCGGGCGCGCCGGCGAGACCTCTTTTCGGTGTCCGGGAACCGAGCAGAGGCCGGGAAGGCCGGTCCCGTGCCGCTGGTCGCAGGGCTTCCTGCTCCGAAGTGGGAAAATGTGCTGCGACAAGTGGAGCCGCGTGGCCGAAATGTTTCTCTTCGTTGAAGACCTGGAGGAGGATTGTAAGATCCTTTGCCTGTGCTCCAGGGCATTTGTGGAGTAAGTAAAAACGCGTCCCTCTTCATTTCTAGCCCGGTTCTTGCCCAGAAATGTAGGCCTCGCAAGCTACGTGTGATTGATCCCCGAAGCCGTGGCTCAAGTCGAAGACCCGTGGGCAAGGTGGTTTCAGGAAAGAAAAGTCCTCAGAGTTCACGGAAGGTCGCCTATTACCGTTAAGGGAAGGGGGAAATCGACTTTGTCGGCTGCTGTGAAAAAACGCGGCAGCTGATTGATTTCGTTTCTATAAACCGAGGGGACGTTTAAAAATCGGGGGAAGTGAAATGTAAACGCCCCTTCAGGGGTGTGACAGCTCAAGGTGAAGACTTTAAGATGAGTACCTTTTGTTGGTTAACATTTTTTGAAAACCTTGAGATTTATTCAAGCGCATATGCGCAGACATAGAGCTTCTAGTTACCCGAAATAAAAGATTTAACTATAATTCCATCAGTTGTTCAGCTGTATTTTTGGGAAATATTTGGGGTAAAAATTGCCCTCCATGGAAGGAAGATAACCAGTGGGTGGGAAACAAGGAACTAAGGAATCGGATTATAGGGATGACTGTTTGCATATCGGGTGTGTGAATTAAGACGCTTCAATCTTTTTTCCGTCCCTAAAACAGGTATGTTTTCACAATGATTTCCAGTGATTTCGCAGGCTTATTGTTAGATTCAGCCTGTGGAAGTAAATTTCATGGGCTGTACTTTTAATGTAGTTTAATGTGGGGGAATTGAAGTTTGAAGAAATGCTTACAGTTACTGTATTTGTGTGGAGTAATCGGAAAATTGATCCAAAAAGAAGTTAAACACGATGTTTAACTTTTAAAATATTGCCATCTTTGCATACGTGCATGCATGTGCAAATGCTTTCTGTGGTTCTTTGTATTAGGTACCCTGGTAGGCCCTGGGGTATAAGACACAGCCTGTCGCTACACCCTAGTAAGACAACTGTTACATAATTATTTAGCGAATTACAGTCGTAGGTGCTATAGGAGAGGAGTACAGGGGCTGTCATAGCAAAAACCTAACCTTTCTCCAAAGATCACAGAGATTTCTTTGAGAAAAGTAGCTTTTGAAAAGAGGTCTAGAGAGTGGAAGGAAACTGGGGTGTGTTTGAGTGAGAGAGAGAGCGACGAGCAGAACTCTGTAAAAAGTAGAAGAAAGCCAAGTCTACATACCTGCTTCTTAGCCTGCAGCCAGATAAGGCTCGGGGCTATCTTCATGAAGTCTCCTTTCCAAATTAAAAAAAAAAAAAAAAAGGAAAGAAAGAAAGGGAATGTGAGTTATGAATGAATGAAGTTGATGGGGCACCTGGGTGGCTCAGTCAGTTAAGCGTGACTCAGTCAGTGAAGGGTCCCGACTTCAGCTCAGGTCGGGATCTCACAGTTTGTGAGTTCAAGCCCCGCGTCGGGCTCTGTGCTGACAGCTCAGAGCCTGGAGCCTGCTTTGGATTCTGTCTCCCTCCCTCTCTGCCCCTCCCCCGCTCGTGTTCTGTCTGTCTCAAAAGTAAATAATAAACATTAAAGAGAGTTTTTTTAAAAAATGTAAAAATTTGAGAAAAAACTGTCATGCCATACCCCTACAAAGCAATATGCTACTAGATTTCAATTAAAGCAACTTTATTTAGAACACAATTTAGGGGGTTCCTGGGTGGCTCAGTCCGTTGAGCTTCCAACTCGATTTCAACTCAAGTCATGATCTCATGGTCATGGGATGGAACCTGATGGGCTGGTGATGGGCTGGCACGGAGCATGAAAACTGCTTAATATTTTCTCTCTCTCCCTTCCCTCCACCCCCCCCCCCCACACACACACCTCTTCCCCCTGGTATACACGAACTCTCTTTCTCTCTCAAAATAAAAATAAATGAATAAAACACAATTTAATTGCCATATAAATCACCGACTACTTTGAATTTAGTCTTTTTGAACCAAAATGTTCATTTTTTAAACTTTGTGTAATTTCATACATATTAAAACTTAGAAGCTCTACTTTCCTTTTATTTTTTTTTTTAATTTTTTTTTCAACGTTTATTTATTTTTGGGACAGAGAGAGACAGAGCATGAATGGGGGAGGGGCAGAGAGGGAGGGAGACACAGAATCGGAAACAGGCTCCAGGCTCTGAGCCATCAGCCCAGAGCCCGATGCGGGGCTCGAACTCACGAACCGCGAGATCGTGACCTGGCTGAGTCGGACGCTTAACCGACTGCGCCACCCAGGCACCCCTCTACTTTCCTTTTAGAAGCCACATTCTGAGTTCAAAATAGGTAAAGAGAAAAGAATGGCTTTTTCCTTTAGATCACTTAATGCTCAAATTATAACTCCTTAGAACAAAAACAACTTGGAAATATGATCTTGAAATTATTTCCAGGAGAAGTCCTGGGGACTTGGAGACATGCTGGCAGTTCAGAGGCTTAATAGTGTAACTCGGACTTTCCAGGTAGAGAAAAGGTCTGTTTCACCATCTTAAAATAACAGATTGACTGTTAGCAAAATTCTAGAATAGATTATTAAACTGAAAAATACAGTACCATACTTTGGAGCAGAAACAGAAAACGAGCATTAGCATAGGTGCCTAATACCTTCTTAGTATTGAGTTGACTCTCATACTAAACTAAACTAAAGGTTATTGTACACCTCTCCTAGAAGGCAGAAAATAGAACCTCATATTGTAACTAATTTTTATTTTCTGAGGACATTATATTAACATACTGTCAGGGCACCTGGGTGGCGCAGTCAGTTGAGTGTCTGACTTTGGCTCAGGTCATGATCTCGCAGTTGGTGAGTTCAAGCCCCACATTGGGCTCTGTGCTGACAGCTCAGAGCCTGGAGCCTGCTCAGGATTCTGTGTGTGTGTGTGTGTGTGTGTGTGTGTGTGTGTGTGTGTGTGTCTCTGCCCCTCCCTGCTCATGCTTTGTCTCTCTCAAGAAGGCCGTGCCTTCTTGGCAGGAATGCCACAGAAGTGATCCTGTGGTTGGCCCTGCATCGCTTCAGCAATGACTTTCTGGAGATCCAGCCCACCACTGGTGACGTTAACCTCCATTGCCCAATCATTGGGGTCTCCCAGTTTTCTTCACTGTAAAGTCACAGTGATTCCCTTTGCATTCATTAGTATGTTGTAGGAAAGTACTCCAGTGCTATACCAATACCCTGTTGTTGCCTGAATCTGCTGCCTCTTGAAGATTGCCAAAGAGTGATTCTCTGCCTGTATCGTTCTACTTTTATTAGTTGGCATTCTGTATGGAGCACTTTCCCCTCTCTCCACATATTTGTTTACTCCTTTATTTACATTAACGTGAACTCTGGATTGTTCGTTTATTGATAAGTTATATTTTATTACTGTCATTTATTTTGATGTTCATATTGTCTCAGCTTTAGCTGGTGGGGGCCTCCTGAGGTGGCTTGTATATCATTTTGATGTGTCCCTGGCATTGTTAGACCTCCTCCTAACCTTCTGGCACAGAAGGTGACCCAAGCATAATCTTTTGTAGTCCATGCTACAACCTGGAACTGCCATTTCTGAAGGTACCTTGGTTCCTTTTAGCAGAGTGTAGTGTTCAGAAACCAAGACTTGGGTGCTCGTTGTGTTCCCTGCTCTTGGGTTTTCATTTCCCCTACGCTCTCTCAGCAGATAGAATCAGGCAGGGTGTATCTGCATTTTGCATACATACATAAATACATGTAGGTGTGTAGGAATATCTTGGCTGTCGGTATCCTCAGTACATTTACTTACGTGCTCAGTGTAACCAATCTTGCAATCTTACTAGCCTTTTCCTCCATCTGACACCTAGTGCCCCGTATCCTCGGGTGCTGACAGGCACGCCGTTGATGCCCTCTGTGTAGCCGCTGCTCTCCCCCACCCCCAGAGCCCTCTCCGTTGTCCAGTGTTCTTGGGGGCCAGTGGGCATTGTGCCAGAGCACATTTGCACTGCATCCCCTGGCATGTTTGCTGTCCTACTGTGAGTCATCACTTTATCTTTTATAAAGTATCAAAACATGAACAGGAGGATAGTGAAATATATCAAGTATACAAAAATTTTATTTGGTTGAATTTATTGTGGTTACACTGGAAAAATAGTATCAGGTATTACTTGCAGATGGCTTTATTCCGGCAGTTCTGATGGAGTTCGTTACAGCTCAATTTAATGGTAGGAAGAAAATGGCACAATTTTCTCCTTTCTCAAAGTGTCCTGTCAAGTTTATTTGTGTTAAGTAATCTCTGATCTTAGCAGATAGAAAACAACTCTTGAAGTGGGTATGTAAAGAAAAGTTGAATCATTCGCTGTTGTTAAAAATTGTTGAGACTAGGGTATTGGCTGGCTCAGCCAGGGGAGCATGCAGCTCTTGATCTTGGGGTCATGAGTTTGAGCCCCACATTAGGCACCGAGCTTACTTAAATAATTATTCAATTAAAAATTGTTGAGACTGAATGTTTTGTTTTGATTTCTGTTTCAGTTTGATAAAATATCTAAATAAGAACTTCATTGTCTGTTAGTCCCCAAAACAACCTTTGCTTGGACTGTGACTATCTTGTCTACTAAGCAATGATAACTTGGCTGATTTGCAAATGGAGTAGGGTCTACATGTGGATTTATGTGTGTGTGAGGTAAATCTTTCCACCTTTTTTTTACATGTTTATTTTTGAGAGACAGCGAGAGACCAAGCATGAGCGGGGAAGGGCAGAGAGAGAGACACACAAGAATCCTAAACAGTCTCCAGGCTCTAAGCTATCAGCACAGAACCCGATGTGGGGCTCAAACCCATGAACCATGAAATCAGGACCTGAGCCGAAGTTGGACTCTTAACAGACTGAGCCACCCAGCGCCCCTAAATCTTTCCACTTTTATGCTCACTTCTTACAGCAAGTTTCGAGAACACTTTCTTGTTTATGTATTATATAAGATCAATTCTTCCCACAATGCCAGAACTATCCTTTAATTATACTAATTAGTAATTGTAATTATAAATGATTCCTATGTGGTATATATTCCCTGTCTTAGATGTACTGTGCTTGTAATAACCTCATGAGATATGTGTTCTTTCCTCTGTATTACAGATGAGGAAGATATATTAGCACATTGCTTTTCTGTTCCTTAACATTTTAAATCTATGCTGCCTTGAGTTTTTTCCCCAGATTTATAATGTATTTCATTTTTGACTGTTTAATTTGCTTTGCAGAGACCGAAAATTGTGCAATTTGGGATTAAAAGGCTACTATGTCAAAGGCAATGGTGACAATGCAGGTAATACAGTATAAAACCATATGGTCCCTTTTCACTCAAAGTAACTATAATACTGTATTGATTTTAAATATAATTTGTTATAATACCATATTGATTTGTTGCATAAAATATTATAAATGACAACCAGTAATTATAGTCCTTATTTTTTATTATGACATGGTTCTAGAATCCTTTTCAAAGCACATCTTTTCTTTTCCTGCTAGCTCCTCTATGGACTTGAGGTAGCCTCTTTTGCTCTATGTAACGTTCCTTCCTGAGTTGTTGCCATTAGATAAGAGGAGCCTGAAATTTGCAGCTTTGAAAAGTAGAGAGCATATTTTCCCCCCCAGCAAAATTTATTGTGTTGGAAGATAAACAGAGGCATGTTAAAATTTTCAAGAGTTTATTCGAGTAGACACCTCTCCAAGTCAGGCAGTGCCGGCTCCCTGGATAGGAGCACCACTCCACAACAGGAGTTAGAGGAGGGGTTTTTTATAGAGACGGTGTAGAAGCAAAGCAAGGAAATTACTTGATTGGCTATGGCTTAAGCAGTGGGCTCGTTTGGGGAAGCATACTGGCTATTTGTGATTGGTTGTTCTTAAGTTTTATTTTCTTTGATTTGAGCACTTGGATTCTGGCTTAGGTTTTTGGTTTGCTTCCATTGACAACAAAGGCCTTAGAGCCACCTCAGTCTAATGACCTCCTTGTTTATATACTTTACCAATCGTATGAATAAGGTATTCAGGATAAGTGCCAAGTGAACATCCATAGTCTTCTGACTGAAGTGAAGAGCCCATCATCTGGGTTCACGTTCCCAAATAACAAATAGAATTTGTTGTATACTTTGAGCCTTATCTAGTTTCCAAAAACCATCTTGCTCTCTCTCAGACTTCCCTTTGAGACCGCGTTTGTTCTTTCCACACAGATCTTTTTTGTTTCTCTAGATACAGGCAAAACTAGCATGAGTTCTAGGCTAAAGCCAGCACAAGTAAAGGGTGTCGTGTTGCCCTTAAAAGTCCTTTAACTCTCACAATAATGGAACGAGTCAGTGTTTCTTCAGTTGATTGCTGGATAAAGTGTTTGGTTTGTGTTTCAATGTAATGTACAAATAAGGTTTCTTCAGACCCCAAGCTCCTGCTAAACGTAAAATATACACACCATGGGGCACCTGGGTGGCTCATGATCTTATGGTTGTGAGATTGAGCCCCGTGTCGTCGTGGAGCCTGCTAGGGATTCTCTCCTCTCCCTCTACTCCTCTCACTTGCTTGTGTGTGCATGCTCTCTCTCTCTCTCTTTTTCATAAATCAATCAATCAATCAATGAATAAAACACATACTATGAAAGGAACATAAAACTTAGCACATTTGTTTTTCCTATTTGCTCTCTCTTGGACTTTCATAAGTTCATTGAGTGGAATGGTAAATGGAATCCCCCTTATTACTTAGGCAGAGATGTTTTTTTCCCTCTTTGTTTTAGTAGGATTTGTACACAAAAGATTTCTTTATAGTCTCCATTTTTGCTTTGTAAGACTCACCATTCTGTTGCCTACAGTCATTTAGCTGGAGTGCAGCTCAGCCCTAATTGAGTATGCTAATGTGTAAAGTGACATTTATCTCACATTTCAAATGGCTAATGGAGCATTAGAATGGCATTTGTCCTGTTAATGGTGTGATACACTTTTTTTTAATCTAACCATATTAGTATAAAGCAAAACTTACTTTGTTACAATACAACAGGTTTTTTTGTAAGACCTAGAATCAGGAGTTTGAAAGAATCTTCCAGCTCAGTAGATTTCACTTTCAATAGCAGAACCCTTTCATTCAATCATCTCTCCCAGAGTCACAGAATATAAATCCTAGTTGTGATTAAAGTACCCTCAAACTAAATAAATAAATAAATAAATAAATAAAATAAAGTACCCTCGAGGCGACTAAAGACATGCCTTTCACCTCTCTTATTACTAGCTCCTAAAGTAACTCCACAAATCATCATTTTAACTTCACTGATCTAGTTGAGTAATACTGCCTATGGCGAAAATGTGTTTTCCCTGTGATTACTCCACCATGTCCCCCCTCGTATCCTCAGTACTCTGCACGGTGCAAAGGGCTCTGTGCCCAGCACAGAGGAGGTACTCAGTACGTGTAACTTGAATGGGCAGCTGGTAGCTGGCAGAGCTAGACTAGAAGTTGTCTCTTGATTCTCAGTTGGCCATTTTTTACTAGTCTTTTTAACTCCTTAAAAATCGTAACACTTGCATGATTCTGGATCTCAGGTTCCTCTTTAAAATGAGGATGATAAAACTTACATCTACATTCTCTCTAAAATGAAGCTAACAAATGCTGTCTGTAGGAGACCAAGCAACAGAAGAGGAGGAAGGTGGCACGGCAGAGTCACATGACAGCAAAGGCTTAGGCCTAGATGAAAGTGAACTTGATTCTGAGGCTGAACTCATGAGAAGTATGGGACTACCACTCCAGTTTGGTGGTGTATCTGCACATAAGACTTTTGAGGTAAGTAGGGGCGCCTGGGTGCCTCAGTCGGTTAAGCGTCTGACTCTTGATTTCAGCTCAGGTCATGATATTGTAGTTTGTGAGTTCAAGCCCTACATCAGACTCTGTGCTAGTGGTGTGGAGCCTGCTTGGGATCCTCTGTGTCTCTTTCTCTGCCCCTCTCCCACTTGTGTTTTAAATAAGTAAATATTTTTTTTTAAAAAGAATTTTTACAAAAGTATAAGTTACTTTTATTTGTTTCTTCATTTTCTTCATGAAATACCAAATGGAATTATTTTATCCCAAATCTAACACATTCATACATTAGAGCACCCCACTTCTTTTTAAACGTACATATTTATAAATTAACCAAAACTGCAAGTTTTGATATATGTCTATGTTTGATTTTTTCCTCCTCCTGTAAACATAGAGAGTAAAATTAATCTGTGTGTGTAACTAAACCCCAGGATGAGGGTTTGAGGATCTATTATTTAATTTAATGGTAAAAGAGACTTGGATTCTATTTTCTCTTATACTTTATGAGGTGCACTTGATATTCAAGTTATTTATCTTATGTAGGTGTCTATGAATACTAGAAATAAAGTTAAAGTCAAAAAGAAAAAGAAAAAACAGCAAAAGAAGTACTTGCATGAAATTATGAGAGAATCTTGGAGACAAGAATATGAAGAAGATGACATTTTGGCTTCCGATGATCCGTCTTCAGTTGAACAGTATGAGAACACCAAAACATGTGAACTTCAAACCAAAAAGGACATTGAAACTGAAAATCTTCCTGTTGAAAATACATTATGCCCAAAGCTAGAAATTACAGAGAAGTGGGAAAAGTATTGGAATGAATATGGCGGAGGACTCTTATGGCAAAGCTGGCAAGAGAAACATCCAGGTCAGACACTGTGTTCTGAACCTTGGAACGTTCCTGATACAAAGGAGGAATGGGAACAACATTATAGTCAACTCTATTGGTATTATTTGGAACAATTTCAGTATTGGGAAGCTCAGGGTTGGACTTTTGATGCCCCAGAAACCTGTGATACAGATACTGGTGAGCCTAAAATAGAGGTTGACGACGAGAAAGATGAAAATTGCATAAAAGCGGACTTAACGTCTTTTCCATCTTCATCTATAACCATTGATAGTGAAAGCTCTAGTTCAAGTGATAAAGAGCATAATGAAATACTTGATGGGGTTAGTAACTTAAGTCTGAATTCAGAGGAAGTGGAACAGAGCCGGTTAGATTCTTCAGTAAGTTACGATGGATGTCAGTTGCTAAGTGAAGTCGGCAGCAGCAGAGAATGCCCTGCTGGCCAAAGTGAACCACGTCACGGAGGAACCAAGGACAGCAACGTGTCTGGGAACAGAAGTGCAAACCAACCAGCTCAGGGTAAGACTGACCAAGATGTATCCTACTGAACAGGAAAATGAACCTACTGAGCAAAATAACACTAATCCTTTATGCAAGAGTTACACAATGCCAACTGCATTTTATAGTATAAAATGATTTACTCCATATATCACAAGTTGTTTATTTCCCTTTCATATAAATCAGAAAAATATTTGCAAAGGGTTCTCAAAAGTATCATTTTTTCCACTTGTACCTTGGTGGCCAATTAAAACTTGAAACTCCCCTGGGGCGCCTGGGTGGCCTCAGTCGGTTAAGCGTTCGACTTCAGCTCAGGTCATGATCTACAGTCTGTGAGTTTGAGCCCCGCATAGGGCTCTGTGCTGACAGCTCAGAGCCTGGAGCCTGTCTCGAATACTGTGTCTCCCTCTCTGTCTCCCTCTCCCTCCCCCACTTGTGCTCTGTCTCTCTTGCTCTCAAAAATAAATGAAGCATAGAAACGAAACAAACAAAAAACACCTTGGAACTCCCTTGAGAAATTTAGAATAGACATGGAACTTCCAAGTTTCTGTGAAGCAAATGTATTTATAGGAGGCATATTAGAGAATGGTTCAGAGTACACAATGGATATCAGGCAAATCTTACTTTAAGTTATATCTGGAAATTTATTTTGGAACCAATGAAGTCTTGCTCTGTAGGGAATCTCAACAGGGCATGATATTAATTTCTATCTAGAAGAGTTGACCTCAGGATCCTTGTTAAATATCCAGGATAGGGAACTTCGTTGACTCCAGCTTAAGTGATTGAAAACATAACAAAACAAAACCTGTCATGCAAATTGATGTCTAAAGAACTAAAGAAAGGATGAAAGAAAGCCAGTGAGAGGTATGTTAAGAAGTCAGAGGTGGTTATTAAGAATGCTCTTGCTAGGGAAAAGGATTCTAAGGAATCCTAAGGAAACCAGGAAAATCAGAGAGGAGGAAATTTTTATAAGTTTGGCATCCTTGATGTTTGGTGCTAGACAAGTCTGGTTTATAATAGAGGACTTTCTTCTCGGCCTCATTCTTATATGAAACAAAAGGTTTTGGCCTTTTATTTAACAATTGGGTTTGCTTTGTTCCTTGGATTGCGGATTTTCATCTAGCTGAGAGTTCCCTTTAGAGAGAGTTCCTAAAGGACCCTGCCTACTTTTTGATTTCTTTTTTCTCTGTGCTCTCCCAATGGAGCTTACCTCAATATTATCATTCTTTTCTATTTTGGTGTTATTTTCATCCTTTTTTTAATGTGATTACTTTATGTTAGTCTTTTGACACTCCTCTCTGCTCTCTCGATTACTTTCTGTGCTGATTTTGACCATAAAACTAGAAATCTGTATATTGGCCAATGTATTGGCCCCTGTCTTACTACTTCATGTTACTTCTTTGACCATCCTCCCTTATCTTCCTGTTTGTTCCCTTTGTCAAACATAGTAAACCTCATAGTCTCTGCCTTCTGTGGTCTATTTCCTAGTTTACATGCATAGATTGGCCATTTTTGTTACCTTTTCCCTTAATTATGTGTGTAGTTGGCCATTTCTTTAATTAGTCCCGGGGTGAGTGCCATCAGGATCAATCTGAGAATTTGAGGTTTTAATTTGTTTTGGATCCTCCCTTGAGATCACAACACAAGGTATATGTTGCATGTTTTCTATGTAAGCGTATATGTTTTCTATTGTTTGTGGTTGCGTATTCTCCTGAAATATGAAATAGTCTGTGCCTACACAATCAAAGTATCCCATTGCCTACACTACAGACAACTCTCCATTTCTAGTTCCCCCTACTCACTCTGTGCCAGTCTGAAGAAATACAGAACAAAGACAGGTGCCTCAGTCAGAGCTGCCACAAGTTTAAAAGCATTCTTTTTAAATGATGGTGCTTACCTTTCTGTTACTTGCATTGTCAATTTAAGGGCTATATTAGAGACCAATGTATTTGCTTCTTAATAAGGAGAAATCATTTTTCTGAAAACACTGTATTCAGAGTCATGTAAGTTAAAATTCGGTCAAATGTGATAGCTGTTAGTGTGTGTGATTAGAAAGCTTTCATAAAAGTAACTGGATTAATTTATGTAGATTTGGACAGCTATGAGGAAAAAGTTTTCGTTTGCTTTCTAAGTAGTTAGATCATGGAAACTTTAATAGATAGGCATAGCTACAATTTTACGCTCAGACTCTGCATGTGGATACACAAAATAGGTCGATTCGATCTGGCGCTGTGCCTGACATGCGCATACAGGTCATTGCAAGAAAGGCAGTAAAGTATTTGATCGCCTTTGCAAAAGGCAGAGGAATTGTCAAACCAAGGAGAGAACTCCACTGCAATATCTCTGCCTCTTTAGATTCACAGGACTCTTCCGAAGCAAACGCAATCAGAGAAAGACCACACTCCAACAGTATTGATGGAGACGAGAGTGAAGAAGATCCACCTGAACATAAGCCAAGCAAACTCAAGAGGAGGCAAGTAACACATTACCTCCGTCTCCACAGTGGGGTAGCAGAAGCACTTGTGTCCATGAGGGGGTGGCTGTAAAGCATTTGTTATATTACAGTACTTACTGTTAGTCCTGGAGAAAAGGAGAAAAGATGAGACGTACTAGCCTTGGAACACGGTCAAATCCCAGCAGTCAAATCCCACAGTTTGTTGTCTATAAAATGGAACCAATGCTTTTTTTAATGAGATCGTTAGGAAGACTAGAACTAGCATGTAATATATCTGATGGGAGTGTCAGTAGGTGACAGCTTTTAATAATGTATCCGTAGATATGGTTTCTCTCAAGGACGTTCTGGTTTTTTCTTCAAAAATCTAAGTATATGTTATCACAAAATTTTATGCTAAAAGACCTCAAGTATCTAATGCTCTTAATCTGTACATGGGAATATTAAGACAAAATGAGGGTAAGTGCTTTTGCCCAGAGTTACACAGCAAAACAATGGCAGTTCCAAGGCTGATGCCCAGACCAACTCTTCTGGAGGCAGTGCTCTTCTAGTATACTATTGATATGTAAAATAGAGTGACAAGTAACACAGGTTGGATACAGTCAAATGCTAATTCTGTAAGATACAAGGAAAAGACGGATGTTACAGAACTTAGATGTCAGCTAAAAACATTTTATTTCTGTGACAGGATGTGAAGTGTTCCACATATGACTTTTATGTTAACATACAGCTTCTAGAAAAAATAATATGCAAACTTTGGGGGCCCAGTAACCTAGTACTTTCATAAAAGCATGCCTCCATTGTGTTCCTTCTACATGGTTCGCAGTGCTTGTTAATTCCTCCCTAAGTGCCCGGAAGCAGAGACTCTGTGTGTTCTTACATTTCTGGGATGTAGTAGGTCCACCATAAATGTTCAGTGAGCTTAATTTAATTTGTAAGAATTATTTCTCCCCATTTTCTCTTAGTACTGTCACGTACGTCATAGGGGTCACTGGGAGGTATCCCCATTAGATCAGTGATCATGGGTTACTTGATAACACACTTGAATCACAACCTTATTCTTCATATATTTTTTAAAGTTTTTGGTTGGATTGATACTTCTCAAATGTTTTCTTCTTTGTTTTTGAGGAAAACTTCTAAAGGTAACATTCTAGGAGCTTAGTTGAAGGCTGTAGTTTTTACAGGTGTTCTTCCAAAGGCAGATGGAGAGATCTGTATTCGTGCCATGTTCAAGGGTAGAGAGAGTTACTTGACAAAGTTTAGGATCTGAGTGCTTTTTGCTGTGTTCCAAATACTGCTGGGTACTTTATCTTATTTGGAAAATCTGATTAAAGTACTCTTTCCTGTCTTCGTGGATCTGTGAGCTGGAGCTGTGGTTGACTGTTGTGATTAGAAAGTGTGTGTAGATTGACTCTGTGTACCTTTTGATATTTTCATTAACTGGTGGCCTCTAGATATAATGGTTTATCACTGTTTTACCTTTTGTTTGTTTAGCCACGAGCTGGACGTCGATGAAAACCCAGATTCAGACTTTGATGACAATGGTTCCCTTCTGGGATTCAAGCATGGCTCAGGACAAAAGTAATTACGTATAAATACTGTTGTTTTCCCAAAATTGTAACACTTCAGCTGTCTTAACGTTCTCTGATAGCTAATGATAGTTATAGATTTGATAGCATTTGAGATAATATAGTTAAAACACTAACCTCTCTTGTGGAGAGATCACCACACATTTGCTATATTCACATACATCGTTTACTCAGTTGCACTTCATACAATCCAATATCGTTATTACAGTTTCATAGATAAAGCAGTGACTTGGTTGGGATCATATCATTTCCTAGGGAGAGGATACAGGGCAAGGTTTTGAGACTTCTAAGCAACCCTGACTTATCAGTGCTCACACAATTATCTAATCCTTGTGTGTTTAATTGATTACCCTGTATGTACTTCTGGGTTCTTCCTAAGATTTAGGCGTGTTCCTTTGAGGTTCTTCCCAAGTTATTGTGTGTACCAATAGTTCATTCCTTCATACTGCTGAGTAGTATTCCGTTGTATGGATGTACCATAGTTTCTTTAACCATTCATCTATTAAAGGACATTTGGACTATGTATGGTATTTGGCTATTACAAATAAACTGCTGTGAACATTTATATACAGAAGGTGTAAGTTTTCTCTGGTATTAAATGTCCAGGCATTAAATATGAGAAAAGTGAAGGGCTTATTGCATATACCATGAAGACCAAACTGAGTATTTAAGGCACATTAAAGACCTACCATTTATGTCAACATGCACCAGTGATTTAAACCAAGATTAAGGTCTTTGATGTTTCTAAGGGTTGAGACTTACTTTGTTAGTTGTGCAGTTTTAGCTGATACCTACATATTGTGAAGTCAGCAAGGAAAGGACACAGATCTCAAAGTTGACTTATAAATTGAATCCAAATCGGTTAAGGATTACATGCTCATAATACTATAAATAATTTTTTTAATTATCAATTATCTCTCCCTTACGGTACTTGAAGGCAGTTGCCGTTGGTATAATTATTTAAGGTTAAAGATCACAAAGATGAGTAATATAAAATGTCTTCTTGATAGTGCCATGTTTAAATTCCTGACAGAATTTATTTCTACCCACATGTAATTTTATTGAGAAATTACTTGAGTGGCTCTTGCTAGGATACATCCCTGGAGATTTATTCTGTGACCTGGGATTTAACTTAACTATTCTTCTGTTTAGGATTCCCAGTTCTACTTAGAAGAAAAGGATAAGGGGGACCTGAGTGGCTCAATTGGTTAAGTGTTCCAACTCTTGATTTCCCAACTCTTGAGATCGGGTCACGATCTCATGGTCATGAGATCGCGTTGGGCTTCACGCTGGGCATGGAGCTTGCTTAAGATTCTCCCTCTTGCTCTGCCCCTCTTCTGCTTGTGTGCTCCCACTCTTTAAAAAGAAGAAGAAGAAGAAAAGGATAAAATGGACTTTTTTATAAAGTTTATAATATGGCTAGAAGATAACACCTGATATTTAACACTAAACTGTTCAGGAGTTTGTAAGTGCTAAATTGTATATTACACTTTAAGTTTCTTATAGTCTGTGGGAGAAGTACTTAAATAAGGCTTGATATAGTCATAGAAGTCTTTGTAGCAGATCTTGATCTTTTAAGACTAGAAAAATTCAGATGGTTAGATCAGCAGATATTTTCTAGTTATTTTGTTAATATGGGTTTGCTTCTTGGGTAAGCTCAGATTAATTTAGGTTAAGAAGTCAGTGACCACTTTTAAAATAATTGAAGTCCAGGTATGTATGTATGAAAGAGCTTTGGTATCATCTCACCATGAGAAAAGATTATATTTCCCTGGTGTGCAACGGGGTTACATGTTTCTGCGATTTCTTTATTACATTTTACTATGTAATACCTGCTTTCTGCTATATATAAGGTATGTTGATACTCCCAACTGATGTTTCAGATTTACTCAAAATTAACATACAACTCCTATGCATTTGAACTTTATTTCATAATTTTTATAATTTAGAAAAGAAATTAAAATGGTGGCTGCTAATCGAAAAATAGTGAAAATTGTCCATTTTATTCTCTTTTCATATAAGAAAACAAACTCACAGAACTTAAGGTTTGAGTCATCTTCCTTTGGTTTGGTCACAGATATGGTGGAATTTCAAATTTCAGTCATCGGCGGGTCAGATACTTGCAGAAGAATGTGAAGTATAAGTCAAAGTTCCTGGACATGAGAAGACAAATAAATATGAAAAACAAACACATCTTCTTTACTGAAGAGTCAGATAAAACATTTTTCAAGAAAAGCAAAGCTTTGACTAAGGTCTGTATAAATTTTGTTCTATATTTACAGATAGAATCTCATTTTGTGAGCTTGACTCAAATGGTATTCAAATGGAAATCCTGCTTCTAGCAGATATAAAGGTGCCTAAAATTCTCTTCCCCTTGCTTCCTAAAAGCATATAGCATGTGAACTAAATTTGAAAAAGAATAAGTTGGTAGTAATGTTACGTTTTGAAAGCTATAAAGTATCTGGGAAGATAGATAAAATTGCCTTGTATATGTAGTAACAGTGAGACTTTCTCATCTGCTTCAGGCTAAGTAGGATCCTGGAAGTCAATTTCTAGTACAGCTTTTATTGTAAGTCTTAATTACGAGATCATCCAGAGGCGATCAGTTAAACATTGCACTATGGGGCGCCTGGGTGGCTCAGTTGGTCAAGCGTCCAACTTCTGCTCAGGTCATGATCTTGCAGTTTGTGAGTTCGAGCCCCACATCGGGCTCTGGGCTGACAGCTCGGAGCCTGGAGCCTGCTTCGGATTCTGTGTCTCCCTCTCTCTCTGCTCCTCCTCCACTTGTGCTCTGTCTCTCCCTCTATCAAAAATAAATAAAAAATGTTAAAAAAAACAATTTAAACATTGCACTAACCAGTTCATCCTAATGGTCTCCTGCGAATTTAGTGATTTACACTGTTAACTGGAGTGTTCACTAGAATATTCGTGTCCCCTCTCTTGGACTCTGCTATACCTGCTGTGCCAGCACCTGAAAAACAAAAGTAATTAGAATAGTTTTTGCTTGGTTTGATGAGTGATACTTTTCTGTTGGGGGGTGGTGAGCAGGGAGGACACCTTCTCATGAGTGAAACCTTTGTATCATTGTATTAGTCACTTCTCCAGCAACTCCTTTGGACAACAGAACAAAATCTCAGATCCTGTAATGACTTTGTTTTACCCTTAAGTTACACTATCCTTCCTAACTTCAGCATTCTTCCAAAACATGCAACAGACTTATGTTGCTGCCTTCATGTTTTCCTTTTCATTTTAGATTGGTTGGTTGCTAGTGATATTTTAATATTTTAGTGGCCCTGGTTATGTCTGGAACACATTTCCCACTTCAGGTCAGTCAGTCCTATAGAACTTTTTATTTGTTGGATGTGATTGCCCCTATACATCCATCTGTAGACAAAGCAGAAACATACCTGCTATGTATTGACAAGGAAAAAAAGAAATACGGCTGTTGTGTCCTTAGGTATCTGTTTGATACATAGGCACAGTCCCCTTGAAGATTCTGGGTTTGTCTATGCTCATCTTCCAATTTCCTAACTCTTAGGAGGGTCATGAACTCTGTTATGAAGAATATTCTTGTAGGGGCATCTGGGTGGCTCAGTTGGTTAAGCATCTGACTCTTCATTTCAGCTTAGGACATAATCTCATGGTTTGTGGGTTTGAGCCCTACATTGGGCTTTGCACTGACAGTGCAGAACCTGCTTGGGATTCTCTCTCCCCCTCTCTCTCTCTCTCTCTGCCCCTCCCCCTCTCAAAATAAATAAGCTTAAAAAATTTTTTGTTTAAAAGAATATTCTTGTTACAGAAGTTTGCAAGGAAGTTACCTGACCTTATTAACATTTCTAAGAAACCTACTTTTTAGGAATCCTTTTTACAGGCTTCACTCCGTTTCTTCAGATGGGCACTAAATCTTTTTAGAGTTTATCTTTGATGCTGAGTACAATTTAACATAGACTATAGCCTCAGCCATTGAAGTAAAGCCTATATGATTGGAAAAGATAACATTAATGACAGTAATAAGTAGGTACGTGTGTGATGGCAATATCACATAGTATGGTTATATTGTCAGAAGCCTCTATGGAAAGCTACTGGAACAGTTCAGCTTTATCCTCTTAGTGCTAATTGATTACAGGAAAGTCACCACCTTGTGTTTAAGCTGATATCTTCTTCCTTTTAAAGAAAGATAAGAAAATTGTGCAGTTAGCTCAGAATTACTTTTTGCATAATTAGCTTGTATGATACAGTGTACTTATTGGAGCTAATAATTATGACTCAGCTTCTCAGTGAAGTCCAAATGGTCAAAGCAGGTAGGACTATTCTGTGCAATTTGGAATTAATTCGTGCTTGTGATGACTGACAATTTCAGGTAGAAAAATTTCTAAAATGGGTTAATGAACCAATGGATGAGGAAGCATCACAGGAGTCAGTTTCTCATGACAACGTGCAAGACACGTGCACAAGCAGTGATTCAGAGGAGCAAGAAATGTCTGTTAAAAAAGGCGATGACCCACTTGAGACGAGCAGTCAAGAACCTGGAAGGTGTCACGCCGTGTCTTCAGCTGGTGAACTGGAAACAGAAAAAAATGAAGGAGACAGCACAGTAACAGCTATTACACATCAGGAAGATTGTGTTACTCAGATTACACCAGACTCTCTACAGGTCGACACTGAAGGTAAGACTGCTTCAACTTGCTGATGAATTTGGATAATGTGCTTCCCTAGCTGTCACTTGTTAACCGTCTATACGTAAGGATGCACCACTATTTTACTTTATTGTATTTCATTTCATTTCATTTTATCTTATTTTGAGGTGGGGGTAGAGCACGTGTGCACACACGGGGAGGGGCAGAGAGAGAATGTGGGGCTCGATCCCACAACCCTAGGATCATGACCTGAGCCGAAATCAAGAGTCAGACAACTAACTGAGCCACCCAGGCGCCTCTCACCGCCATTCATTTTCAAGTAGAGAGGATGCACAGTAAGTGTAAATGTGCTAGTGGCTATGGTTTGGCACCAGAAGACTACACTCTTGGCTGAGCAAGCGTGATGAGATAAAAGGGCGCACATGTGGGAAAACTGAGTGTCTCTGTTCCACTAAGATTGGTCTCTGCCACTACCCTCTGCTCCCTGGGCTAAAAGTGACTGGCAGTCCCTTTTATCCCTCTTGAAATTTGGTATTGCTCTGGTGTTCCTTTTAATAATTCTTTTTATTTTGGGGCGCCTGGCTAGCTCAGTCGGTTAAGCGTCCAACTTTGGCTCAGTTCGTGATCTCGCAGTTCGTGAGTTTGAGCCCAGCATCAGGCTCCATGCTGACAGCTCAGAGCCGGGAGCCTGCTTCAGATTCTGTGTCTCCTTCTCTCTCTGCCCCTCCCCTGCTCACGCTCTTTCTTTCTCTCTCTCTCTCTCAAAACTAAATAAGGATTAAAATAAATCTTTTTTTTAATATTGAGGAAAATACCTCATTTGAATCTTGATTTGTGTGTGTGTGTGTATGTGTGTAGAGAGCTGTATTCTTTGTATCACATACTCCTTTGCCTTTCTAAAAAGCATACTAAAGGTAGTTTAAATTTTTTTTATTGTCATGTACAACTGATGTTCATACGGTACTTGCAGATTTCATGTGCCTTATTTTCATTTAATCTATAAAATAGGTAGATGGAATTATCCCTATTCTATAAATACAGAAGGTAAAGCCCAGAGAAACTAAGAAATTTGCCTGAGATCACACAGCTAGTAGGTGGCATAGCTAGGACTCAGTACCAGGTTGTCTGATTCCTCAGTCCCATTTCCCCCCTACCGCTTCCCTACTTCCCTGATTACCTCATGTCACAGTGCTGGTAGTTCTCACCTGGGCCCATACCACCCACCTCAGGGGCATTTGGAAGGTGTTGGCTGTTAGAATGACCTGGAGGTAGGGGCATTTAGTACTTGGGGTTAACCTTCTGTCGTGTATAGGATGATCTTGCACAATAATGAATTGTTCGTTCAAAATGTTAGTGTTGATGACACCTTATGCTATTTGCAATGACCGGATGACGTATTAAGACATAGTTCTATCCTTGAGAATCATTGAAGCAGTAGTTTTATTTGTCATCATCAATTTTTCTCATTATGTCTAGCTGTGATAATGCTCTAAGTTGCTATTTCTGATCTCAGAACTGAGACAAGATAACCAAATTAATAAAAATTGTTTAAGAAAAAAGTCCGTCGCAGGGTGCCTGGGTGGCCCAGTCGGTTAAGCATCTCACTTTGGCTCAGGTCATGATCTCACAGTCGTGTTCTGTGCTGACAGCTCAGAGCCTGGAGCCTGCTTAAGATTCTGCGTCTCCCTCTCCTCCCCTGCTCACACTCTGTCTCTTGCTCTCCCAAAAATAAATAAAACATTTAAAAAAAAGAAGAAAAAGAAAAAGTCCATCTTTGAATGAATGAGATCCTTTTCTGTTAACATTAAAGCCATGACCTATTTTAATTTCCTTTAGGTCATAGGATCTTCAGGTCATGTCTGTGTTCAGAGGATTGACCAAGTTAGGACTCAGTCAGTCCTTGGGAGGTTTTATTTTAAAGAAGGGAAGAACAATGTTTGGATTTCTATAATTGACCGACTAAAGTAGTACCTTATCTAACAGAAGTAATAACTTTTATACCTATGTAGTATCTGTACACATCCCCTAACAATCTTGAGAAGTAAGTAGATAAAATACTATTCATTCATTCCTTTTGAGGAATTAAAAATTGGATCTTAGTGAGCCTGGGTTTCTTTATTTACCAAGCCCAGGCAAGTTATAAACAGCAAAACAGAAGCTGTCATGTAAAGTCAGTGCTATGTGCATCAGGCCCTCCTGCTTCTCCAGGGGTGCCGTTGCACACATGTTCTGGAGTGCATTCCCAAATTGTAAATATTGAATGTGGGTATACTTTTAGATAAATTCATCTACGATTTCCTTTTTTTCTTAGTGAGCATCTGTATTTTTTATATTCTTTTATTTTAGCTGAAAGTAAAAAGAAGAAGACAAAGAAAAACAGGAACAAAAAGGTAATTGGCCTGCCTCCCGAGATAGCTGCTGTTCCTGAGCTGGCAAAGTACTGGGCCCAGAGATACAGGCTCTTCTCCCGTTTTGATGATGGGATTAAATTGGACAAAGGTAAAATATATGTGGGGGGTTTTTTGACACTATTTTGAAATAATTTCAAAGTTACAGAAACGTGGCAGGAATAGTAAAAATTTCATAATGCCCTTCACCCATATCTGACTGCTTGGTAACACTTTGCCACATTTGCTTTATCATTCTGTATATCCAATCGCTCCTACCCCTTAATACTTGCGTGTGTGTTTTCTAAGAACAAAGATACTTTATGTAATGGTGATAAAATTACAAATTGAACTTTGCTGCAATATTCTATTCTGCAGTCCAGACTGCAGTTTCATCTGTTACCCTAATCATGTCCTTTATGGCGTTTTTTCTTCCAGTTGAGGACCACGTATTGCATTTAGTTTTCATGTTGTTTTCTTTTCCTTTCATCTGGAATAGTCCCTCAGCCTTTTTGTCTTTCTTGACTCTGACATTTTCCAAAGAAAAGTGGCCAATTATTTTCTACAGTGTCTCTTAGTTTGAGTATATATGTATTTTTAAAACTTCACATTCAGGTTTAATCTGGATTTGTGGCATTTTAGGATGAATAGCAAAAAGTCAACATCTGATGAAGAAATACCTAGTGCAGAAGGTGTAATTTAATGAATTAACTCTGGAAGCGGAGTTCTTCTGTGAGTGTTACTGCTATGTCTGGAACACCTTCCTTCATTCATTTCTGCAAATTGATGCTTATTTTCATATCGGGGCTCCCTAAACATTGGTCCTTATTGACTGTCAAAATCAGGAGACTTGATCTGGGTAGAATTTTGGGTTCTGTGAACCTCTTCTAATAATTTACAAAATGTTGTGTTTGTTGTGTATCAAAGAGAGTACATAGGAGTTTGTTTGGAGAAATGAGGCTGGATAAAAAAGCTTTCTAATTCTATAAAAGGAATTTATATTTGTATTCTTCCAACAATGAGGAGCCATTTAAAGTCTTGGTAAGGAAAGAGAACAGGAAAATTGGTGCATGATTTTGTTCCAGAGAAATACATTTCTGAAAAAAAATGTTAATTTTTTCTACTGGGAAAGGAAGTCCGTGTCCTCTTTCTTCTGGAGTGGGCATAGGACCCCATTTCTGAAAACGAAGAGGGGTCTATTCCTACAGCTTTGCATCCTTTTGCTGTCAGCTTCTTGCTTTTCCTGACCCTTTTGAAATGTACACATTTTTCCGAAGTGTCAAGTACAAATCTGGCTCGATAGTTCCCTGTTAGAAATAAAGTAATCCGGAAACTCAGTGGGGTCTGGGGAGTTGGCCAGTTGAATAGAGCAACTTTCCATTTTCCTTAATAGTCATTAATACTTCAAACAGAAAAACTAAAGTTGCATTCAGTTATTAGAAGTATATTATAAAAGCAACAGGCAAGAATTGAGATGGTTGCTTCCGTGCAAATCGGGAATGGGAATGGTACTGCTTTTTATAACAAGCTCTACTGAACTTTCTGTAAAAAAAACGAAGCAATTTATAAGTTCTTGAAAAGAGAAACTAGATCTTGTTCGGGTATAGCATATATAGTAATGTTGCTGTGATGTTTGTGCTCGGGTTGGCTTCTTGAAATTGAACCATCTTCATCCGGATGCTCTTCCTCTGCAGAGGGCTGGTTTTCCGTGACCCCTGAGAAGATTGCTGAACACATTGCTGGCCGGGTCAGCCAGTCCTTCAAGTGTGACATTGTAGTAGATGCATTTTGTGGAGTCGGAGGAAATACCATTCAGTTTGCCTTAACAGGAAAGAGAGGTAATTAGCCGACAATGGAAGAAAGCGATTTATTTTCCGTTTGTTTGAGTTAAAAAGTTTCATTTTGCTTTAGCCTATGTATGTTGTATATAATTAGTAACATAACCCCAAATATCCAAAATAATAATAGCAGGGCGCCTGGGTGGCTCAGTCAGTTAAGCATCTGACTCTTTAGTTCGGCTCAGGTCAGGGTCTCACAATGAAATCGAGCCCCTCATTGGGCTCTGTGCTAACAGCACAGAATAAGTAAATAAACATTTTTTAAAAATACATAATAATAATAATAATAATAACAACAGCATATATCAAGCCATACACCCTGTATCACGGACTAGTATAAGTGCTTAATATGTATACATTTGTTAGTCAGCAGTCTTGTGAGGTATATCTTTTACTATCTGTGTTTCACAGATAAACAGAAAAATAGAGATGAAATAATTTGCCCAGGATTACACAGACACAGCTTGGTGAAGCCAAGATTAATAACATTATAGAAAACCAACAATTCTGAAATGGGAAGGCCTTCTTTAGAAGAAGAGTGGACAGAGAGTACCTGCTTTGCCACCTCTGTGACTTTGGACATCATTTAACCTCAGTTTAAAGGAGACCTTAAATTGAGATAACGTCTGTAGTACCTTTCAGCTTTAACATCATAAGACTCTAAAAATCTTTCAAGTGTTAGGTCCTCCTCATGTTTGACTTTGGAATCCCGGGAAAGAAAACCTCTATTGCTGTATATCTACCAAGAAATTTGTCAAGTAGGTAGTACGTGTGCTGTTTCCCAGGGAAAAGAAAGCTTTATAAAATTGAACAATCTGCCCAAATTGGCATAGCTGAGTCATGAAGCCAAGGTTTTTTTTCTGGTATCCCTGTTCTTTCTAAATTCTTTTGAAAGCGTAGTATCAAAGACATCAATTGTTGAGTCATACTCTGAAGATGCTCTTTTTTCCCCGACATCTTTCTATGATACATGCAGTTTCCATTTCAGTGAATTAAGGTTAAGTCTCATTAATTTATATGAAGTTCTTAATGTTGACTAGGAAAGCATGATTCTGGAAGCCTAATATAGAAGCTAAAAATCATGAAGGAAAACTTAACATTGATTTTAAGACCCATGCTGATGAACTGTGACCCTTATTTAATCATGCTCCAGGGCATGGCATTACCCACCTTATATGGTCTCCCAATAGCCTGAATGAAAGTTGTTTTCAGAGTTACTGGAATAGGAATTATTTTCTTGTTTTCCTTGAATTCATTATTTACTCTGCAATTTCTTCTCTTCACTTGCCAGATAAACCATTCCTGTGAGCTCAAATCAGTGTACATTGCATGAAAATGATTTTTCAAAATCATTGTCAACTTGGTCTCAGGTTGTCAACTTGGTCTTCATTTTGATATTGCATCATAACATGACAATTAAAATATCCGCCCTCCGGGGCGCCAGGGTGGCTCAGTCGGTTAAGCGTCCGACTTCAGCTCAGGTCACGATCTCACGGTCCGTGAGTTTGAGCCCCGCGTTGGGCTCTGGGCTGATGGCTCAGAGCCTGGAGCCTGCTTCCAATTCTGTGTCTCCCTCTCTCTCTGCCCCTCCCCCGTTCATGCTCTGTCTCTCTCTCAAAAATAAATAAACGTTTAAAAAAATAAAATAAAATACCCTCTCTCCAATAAAGCAGCAAATAGATCTGGATATTTTTTCAAATACTATGGAAACTGTCCATATTGTAGATTTGTATTTCTTTGAATATAGGTCCGTAGCCAAGGCTTTCTGCAGCTTAGTACACATTTGGTAAAGGAAAATGTCCAATGTGGGTCCCACGCTAAAGGAAGTCTATTTCTGGCATGTTCTCCCAGATCCAGCTTTCATCAAGGCGCCTTAGGGTCTTTTAATCACTCACGCTTACAGGTAGCCAGCTTCTGGGAGGAAAGGGAAGCAGATAGCGAACACCATGCCTCTCTGGTACTGTCATGACCTGGCTTCTGTCTTTGCAGCATCTGGAATGGAAAGCCTAGGACCCCTCAAGCCTGTTCAGCATAGTGGTGTCCTGTGACCTGTTTCCCAAACAAGCAGCAACAGCTCGCAGATGCTCTAATGTTAGTTATAGGTACTGCTCCGTGCTAGGGGATTCAAAACATTTGAAGTATAATTGATTGTGTGCTTACATATCTCTATGTGTGTTGATGTATATATATATATATATATATATACACACACACACACACACATATGCACGTAATCATTCTTCAGCTGAATATATATGAATCCACATACATACGTGTACGTGCCCATACACATGAGAAAATAGCGTTGTGTATGACTGACATGATCCCTTTGTGCCATTGCTTCCTTCCACTCAGATGGTTGTGGTCTATGCATCTACTCACCTGAGTGTTAGAGAATCCACAAGGTTTTGCATTTTGCCGTTAAAAGATTTTTTCCCTCTCTATCTACTTCAGTATCCTTGCTATTCAATAGAATTTTCTGTGATGATGGCAGTGTTCTGTATCTGCATTGTCTAGGTATGATAGCCACTAGCCACATGTGGCTATTGAGCATTTAAAATGTGGCAGGGTGACTGAGGATCTGAATTCTTTATTTCATTTTAATCAATTTATTAAATTTTTTTTTCAACATTTTTATTTATTTTTGGGACAGAGAGAGACACAGCATGAATGGGGGAGGGGCAGAGAGAGAGGGAGACACAGAATCGGAAACAAGCTCCAGGCTCTGAGCCATCAGCCCAGAGTCTGACGCGGGGCCTGAACTCACGGACCGCGAGATCGTGACCTGGCTGAAGTCGGACGCTCAACCGACTGCGCCACCCAGGCGCCCCCATTTTAATCAATTTAAAGGTAATAGCCACATATGGCTGGTGGCTACCATTATTGGACAGTGCAGTTCTATATAATGTCATCCAACGTTTGTCGGCATTTCATTTACATAATAGATTGAGTGCTTACATTCTGTTAGGCCTAAAAATAAAACAGCCTCTAGGAGAATGTAGATGAAAACGTGAGAATTGACTGAGTATATTTGATGTTGAAAATCATTTTTCCCCATTGAGTTTTTGATGTTGTCGGCATATCTTTCCATCTGTCTCTATACTACAAGTGGAGCAGATTGAACAGCTAAAAAGGACATTTTCATCGTTTTTGTTACGAACGTTAGCTTATTTAGAACAGAAAAATAGCATTGTAAATGCATAATTTTCAACATGTAATTGGAGCTCGTATACATTGTTCAAGTGATTATTTAGTGCATTATTTCTCAAAAGTGTTAACAAATTTTGAAACCAGCACTTTGTAGAAAACAACTGTGTTTCCATGACAACCATGGTGTATGCATTAGGGTTCCACTTAGACCTTGCAAATATAAAATATTGCCACGAGCACACTGGTGCACGTACAGGTGCACTTGAGTTATTTGCTGTAAGACATCATGAGTGAGCTCAAATCAACTTATGTTTGCATTGCTAATTATGAAATTGCAGTAAATTAAATGAAAGCCCTCTCGGTGAAAACATAACGTTGTCAGTTCCCTCCCCCCTAAGATGTCTCATTCATTAAACGTTATCAGCAGATGTTTTTACATTTCTTGTTCATAAGTTGGCTCTATAGGTTTGTCAAATGTGTTTCAATTTGCTCTTCTGTAGAAGTTGTCAAATTTGTCTTTGGAGGCCGTGTCTCATTTTAGGAAATGGGTCTTTTCTGAAATCCTAGTGTGGTTACAGGCTTGACATGCAGTCAGCGACCTTTCCAAGTGTTTGCTGCTCAGGGCGTTCAGGCCACAGTGCTGAACACATTACCTCTCAGTAGGTACTGTGTGACTCCTGTCACTACTTGCTTTGGAAAAGCTGGCTGAGTGACACAGCTTTGAAAGCCAGGCCATTTAGTCCCATTTTCTTGGTACTACACAAGTGCATCTTTCTACTTTAGGTTAAATTTTTTAATTAAGTTTTTATCGTGCTCGCTTCGGCAGCACATATACTAATTAAGTTTTTATCCCTGGTACATGAACCAAACTCCCTTAGTCTTTAAAAAAAGTTCTTGTAAAGAGAAGAAAGGAGACTGCTCAGAAGATGAACTGTTCTATGTAACAGTCGGTGTCATTTAACTCCTCTTCTTTTCCCACTTTCAGTGATTGCCATTGATATTGATCCTGTTAAGATCGATCTTGCTCGCAATAATGCAGAAGTTTATGGAATAGCAGACAAGATAGAGTTCATCTGTGGAGATTTCCTCCTGCTGGCTTCTCACTTAAAGGCTGATGTTGTGTTTCTTAGCCCCCCTTGGGGAGGACCAGACTACGCTACCGCAGAGACCTTTGACATTAGGACCATGATGTCTCCAGATGGATATCCTTTGCAAGGCTGGCAGTTTACTCAAACAGCGGTTGTAGAGAGAAGGGCGTACATATGAATGAGTGTGTGTGTTTGTGTGTGTGTTTCAGGGAGAGAGAGGTTAGTGAAGGGGGGAGATACTCACTAGTAGCACCTGATAGGTTCCGGTTTATTTTGCATAAAAAGCCAGTATGTAAACATTAAGTGCTGGTTGATTGCCAAGAGTAATGGCCAATGTGAAGTTACATTTCCTTTGGTTACTGTCCAATTATATCATCATAAAACAAGAAGTAGGAAGTATTAATTGCTTGAAATTATGGTCCTGGACATTGGGAGATTCCTCAAGACCTGTCCTTACGAGTCTGGGTGACCATCCTTTAACTTTTCTTCAACTTAACACTGGCTTGAGCTGATTCTCTTTGTCTCTTCCAGTGTTTCCTCTCACTTTTCCAAGACACCGAAGCAAATTTTTCTTTCATGGTAATATTTATTATTTGTCCCTTTCTTTATCTCTCCTCCCCAGAGGAATCACCTCTTTGACTCTAATAGGAAGCGTGTTTCTAAACTGCTAATTAAAATTTAGGATGTAAACCACAATGACCAGATGTACTTGTCTTTTATTCTTTACTGGAAAGAGGTGGTATTGTGCTTTCCTCTTCTTTCTACTCTCACAGTAATTAGGAAATGGTAGAAAGACAGTGTATTTCTGACCCCTGGCTGCCTTCCACAAGGATAATCGAATGAACAGTTTTAACTGCTAATCTTTGACCCATCTGAATTACAAAATCTCCTACTTAATTCTCTTTTAGGTTCCATTAGAGGATCTAAATGTGTGTCTTATTGTTACTTATCAAAATATATTTGGGATATGATGCAAGAACATATCTCTGCTCAGAAATGAACTGCTCCTTTTGTTACCATTCCTTAACTGCTGTCCACCTTTGAAATTTTCAGGCGTTCCCAGAAGATCACTAATAATATTGTTTATTTCCTTCCAAGAAATGCTGATATTGACCAGGTAAGTAAGCCACTACTGCAGAACTTCTCTGAGCCTGTGGCATAACTATTAGGAAAAATGGGCAGAAAAAAATACAAGGCATTTCTTTGAGAACATATTTATGAAAAGTGTCTGGCTTTTATGCTAATAGTAGAAAACTGGAGGTGTTTGGTAGTTAAATCCTTGCCTGTTTAATGCACTTCATCTCCACAGCTCCTGGCGTACATATACATAAATAGAATACTCGGGGCTTTTAATATGTTCTGGAAGGATGACCGGATGTGTTGTGTTTCAAATGTGCATACCGAAACTAGGCAAGATCTGTCTTTACTGAAGCCTACCTTGAGAATCGAGTTTTTAGGTATTCCTCAGAAGAGGACCCTACATAGAAATACATAGACAGATGAAACCTTAATTTGGCCAGAAACAGTTTTAACCATAGTCTTGGAGTGTGGGAAGCTAGACTAACAGTTAAATGTCCTCATTCCATTCTTACCATAAACACTTATTTTAGTAATGTTATTTTTTCTCTGGTAGAATTGGATTTGGTACAACTGCCTTGTGAGGATTTGATGGTGGCTTTATTTCATGTTTTTGTTGATTTGCTTTTTATAAACACTACGTATTTACTGTGTGGTGAGCGTTCTGTTGAAAATCTTTTGTCTTTCATGTTTTGATTTTACTAGTATAACTGGGTCTGGAGTTTTCCTTTCTCTCCTATTTGATACTCTGAGAGCTGACCCTGTCGTGCTCAGCCTTGACATCTGATTCTGGAGAAATTATCTCCCATTACCTATTCAATTAAATTTCACACCACCTTGGTTTTTTTTTCCTGGGACATCACTTACGCGTGTGTTAGTCTTTTATAATTCTATTTTCTGGCGCTTTTTCTCTTCCTTTTTCTTCTGGGAGATCTGGGCTTCCAACTAGTTCATTCCTGAGAGTGTATTCCTTGTGTTTTTTTAGTTCAAGTATCGTGTTCTTTATACTTAAAATTTCTGTACTGTTTTTGTTTTCTTTTATACTGTAATAATATCTCTTCCTGTTATTATAAGTTTAAATTCTTAATCTGGTCTGTCCTTTCTGCATTTCATGTAATTTAGAATCCATTTTGTTTTTCTTCCATGAAATACTGGCGGTCCTCAAATGTCTTAGCGTGCATTGACTGTTCTCAAGTAACGTGGAGGAGACAGGCCAGGCTAGAAACTAGCGTCGACTCTGGCTGTGCCCTGGGGTCACTGGGGACCCTTAGAAAAACTGTGGCTGTGTAAGCCCCACCTCAGAAACTGATCTAACCAGGTTCGTAAAGCTGCCAGATCATTCTAAGGTGGAGCCCGGGCAGCCTAGCGCTGCTCACCGCTACGTTAGCCCCGGTGATAACCTCAGGGGACCAGAGTGTCAGGTGAGCTGTGGGGTTGCCAGCCCAGGAACCACAAGACCGCAGTTCATTGTCACCAAACACCACGTCAGGAGGCAACTCCTCGCTCTTGGGGAGGGGCTGGACCGAAGCGGATTCACGGGCTCTTTCATCCCCGAGTGTCATTCATCAGCTCGCGGGTGTGGAGAGGGAGGAGTGAGACGGTGGCTGTCAGGGACTCGTGGCCACCTGTTCCTCTCAGCTCGTCACGCGGGATTTCTTTTCAGACTGCCCTAACGACTGAACGTTGACCAGAGTTCCCGGTTTCTGGAAGTGAGGCCGAGTATGCCAAATACAGGGCAATTGGCCGAGGGAGCAGCCGGAGCGGCACTTGCGAGTTCTTGTTCTCCTTCTTCCTGTGCCGGCTTCCCGTAGGCCCGTTGCCCTCCGTCCTGCGCACACACGTTCAGACCGTCCCGGGTCTCCGGAGGTCTCGTTCGTTTGGCGGCCTCCCTTTGTAGTGTCTTCGTCCGGTGCTGGCTTGCGGTAGCCAACAGGCCTCCTAGCCCGGCACCGTCCCAGGGCTTTCGCCGCGGGGACGTAAATAACGACGGTGCAACCTTCTCACGAGAAAGGTGGAGCTCGAACGCGCTGGCTCTCTGGTTGGATGACTTCAGGAAACGCTCCGATGAGGTAGCACGTAAACTGGACTTCGGAGTCCAAGAAGCTTCGATGGTGGGAGTTGAGCAGAAGGTGGCCAGAGCGCCAAAGACACAGCAGGGGGAATGTGTAGGTAGTGTTCAGTTAATGGGCTCAGAGAGAGGGAGCAAATCAAACGGACCGGGTTTAGTCTCGGCCCTGCCACTCACCAGCTGTTTGGCGGCGGTTCCGAGGCGTAGACGAGTCTGGGGGTTCCGCGTTTAACACGGTACCTCTAGCCCACAAACCTTCGATAACGTCCTGTGTCTGTGACTTATCGCAAAGTTGTTGTGAGGAGAATGTAAATGCTCCTAACACCTTGAAGAGGACCGGTATGGAGAGAGGATATGTTTTCCCTAGAGGACAGAGTAGAAGCTCCTGTATTTGTGAAATGATAGAACGTAATTTATAAACACACCTCCCCGATCACCTGTTTTTCTCATCCTCTCATCAGAAACATACACTCTGAACAGACATACCCTTGTGTCAGTTGGGCACACTCTCGGGATCATGACGTATTTCCTTGGTCTTTGCAACACTGGCTCTCAGCTCTGGCTGCTAATTGGAATCGGCCGAGTGGCTTTTGTTTTTTTATTGTGGTAAGATGCACACAACAAAACTTACCATAAACCATCTGTGAACGTCAGACACGTTCGCACTGTCGTGCAACCATCCCGCCATCCGCCTCAGAACTTTTACACCTTCCCAAACTGAAACTCTGTACTGTGAAACACTGACTCACCACCTGCCCCTGGCAGCCACCATTCTCCTCTCTGTGTCCGTGAATTTCACTGACCTGGGTACCCCAAATAAGTGGAGTCATACAGTATTTGTCCCTTTGTATCTGGCCTGTTTCACGGAGTATAATGTCCTGAAGTCATCCACGCTTCAGCACGTGCCGGAACTTCCTTCCTTTTTAAGGCCGAACGGTATTCCATTGTGTGGACATACCACATACCGTTTATCCATCCATCAGTGGACATTTTGAGCCACTTTCACCTTTTGGCCGATGTGAGTAATGCTGCTGCGGGTGCCCTGTATCTTTCCCTGCTTTGAGTTCTTTTGGGTATATACCCAGAAGCAAAATTGCCAGATCATAGAGCAATTCTGTTTAGTTTTTTGAGGACCCCCCCCTGTGATTACTCCCTGGCAGCTGAACCAGTTTACATTCCTACCAGCAATTCATCAGGAGTTCAGTTTCTCCACATTCTCACCAACACTTGTTTTTGCTGTTGGTGGTTGTTTTGTTATGATAATAGCCGCCCTAATGGGTATGAAATGGTATCTCATTGTAGTTTTGATTTGCACTTCCCTAATGACTCATGATGTTGAGGACCATCTGTTCACGTGTGTATCTTCTGGGTATTAGTCCCCTCTCAGTATATACTTTGCCCGTATTTTTCCCCATCCTGTGGGTTGCCTTTTTTACTCTTGATAGTGTTCTTTGCTGTACAAAGTTTGTAATTTTGATGAAGTTCAGTTTGGCTCTTTTTCCTGTGTATTGCCGGTGCTTTTGGTGTCATAGTCAAGAAATTGTTACCAAAGCTAATGTCATGAAACTCTTCCTGTATTTTCTTCTGAGAGTTTTATGATTTTAGCAAGTAGCTTTTTAAAACTACCAGTTGAAGAGTCCCCAAATGATTGTAGTATGCTGTCGGAGTTGAGATTCTCTGGGATAACAGAAGGGTAAATGATCTGAATGAGCCAGAGCTCTTACTCTGTGGGTTAGAGGAGGTGAAATTAGATCTTGTCACCTGTCATCTGTTTATGAGCCACAGTGTTTGAATATTAGACCTCCCAAACACTGTGTGCTGTACCGTTACAAGAAAAAGCACTGTCCCCTTGCTTCATGCATTTTTTAATATCAAATCTCATATTAAACTGTATCTCCTACTCACGTGACTCTCATCTGCATCCTGTGCTCCCAAGTAAAGTTGAGCCTGTTGATTCCATAATTCTTATTTGCTCACATAAATATTATGCTCCATATTGCTAGTCTCATAAGTGGTTATGTGATCCTTCTATTAAATATTTGATGGGCTTCTTGGGGTACTTGAATGGCAATAGGAAACTCACTGTTTATTGCAAAAGTTACAGTGTTTTTTCTAGTTAACATTTTCCCAAGGAGGAAGTTAATTTTTTTCTCTTTAACTTGCGTTTTTGGTTTAGTTCAGAAACCTGCCAGAATTAGTTCATTGACATTTTCTACCTGTAGAGGGAGTAACGACACTAAAAAATAATAAAAGTCAAAAAGGAAATGAGATTTCAAGTGTTATTATATTGTTTGGTATTAAATTTGGATCAAAGTACAGTAGGGAGTCAACTTTTTAAAATGAAAAAAATCTATCCATATGTAGTATTTTTACAATGGGAGACAAGACAGTTCTGCAAGAATGAGAGAGGGCAGCATTACAGAGAAGTCCACTTTTTTGCTAAGGAACATTTAGAATGTCACAGCAACCTGAACTTCCACATGGGCTGGGTTCCCCAAGTTCATGAGTTGGCTGTTTGAAACTCAGGCCGCATTTTTCCCACAGAAATGTCTGTTAAGAACAGTTAATTTCCCATGCAGGGAGATTTGTACTCATGGTATTTGTATTTGGGGTAACTAAAGTGAGTATGGACTCAGCACAGATACAGCTTGTCCTGTAGTCTTTCCACATGGGAGACGAGGCTAGTTGTTTTCTGTGTCTAGTAACACATTTTTCTAGGTCTCCTATTACCTCAGTCTCTTACTCCCCTTTTCTGTGTGGGTGTTATTCCAGGACACGTATTCCCTTGTTATCCACACTCTCACTGTCCAACTCAAGAACTGAATAATTTAGAAAGTCTTTTTGCGACAGGCTCTTTGGAGGGAAGTCACGGTTGAAACTTTGGAACTGATTAGATTCAGTTTGGAGGGCCCAGGATATATGTATTTATCTACTGGATGATAATCTTCCTTTGACAATCAGAGTTCAGCCAATACTAGCTTTGGTTCCACCAGACATTCCAAATACGGGAAACTTCTGTTTTAAAAAGTGCACGTACACAGTATGGATCGAGATGTCTGAGCAGAGCGGAAGGTCGGTATGAAGTCCCTTTGGGCGGCAGCTCCAACGTGGAGGAACCCGTCTGCTGGACAGACGTTGGGGTGCTGAGAAGGGCGGCTGCTGGCTGCTGGGATACAGCACCTCCTTATCTTTGTCTCCTGAAATGTCTAGCCTTCTCTTTAAAGGACTCTTCTTGACAGTTTGTGCGTACCGGTACAGAAAGGGCAGCGTTGAGCAGCATCCCTGAGGATTGTGTTGAAAAATGAACCGGGAGGCAGCCGTGCTTCGTGTCAGTCCGGGCACTGGGCTGGCAGACGTGCTCTGCCCTTCGGTGACCTCCCCCGCACACACCGTGGTGACAAGCAGGCCAGTCCCCAACTGTTTTATTTCCCAAGGAAGCAGGACCAGGTTTGTGAGCTTAGTACCACAGGTAAAACTGAACCTGTGATTGTTTACGTTGCAGCCCCAGGCCTAAAAGCTGTGAGATTGAATCATGAGAGCCCTTCTTCCCAGTGGGCCGAGTGCTTGAGGCTCCCGCTGGAGCCAGTACATGGTGTCTGGGAAGGGGAGAACTCCTGCTTAACAGCAGTCCTCACGCTTCCAGCAGCTTACTGTGTCAGGTGGGCGGGCAGGCAGGAAAGGAGGACTTACAGGTGACATTTCTAAGACCACATGGAAGAACAGTGAGCCTGAATATGGAAACTTGAGACAATGTTATTTGGAAAAAGATTACTTTAAATATAATGTTAAATATTTTAAATATAATTCAGTTCATTGGCGTTTTTAGTGTTTGTTTTTAGCTGAGTGCAGTGAAAACCTACCACCGATTTCTTTGCAAATATTAGTTCCAAGCGGTTATAGTATCTGTTTATATGAGAAATGAAAAATCAGGGCCTTGCCGGTTTCTGTGATAAGAAATTTGTGTCAGGTTCTTCCAAAAGAAATTTCCGTAGTAGAAATCTGGCATAATGGCAGCACGGTCGTATAGCCAAAACCGAATCCACGTGGTCAGTATGATGAAGTCGTCCCGACAGGTGGAGGGCCCGTAGTCTGGGGGTAGATAACCAGAAGCAGGAGAGAGTAGAGGGAGGATCAGGAACTGGATTGGATCTGCTACATGTAGGAATAGTAACCTCTAAAGCCGTTGAACCTGAAAGTAGCCAGCCCCTGAGACTCCGAGCGCTCAAAAGTGCCCTCATCCTGCATTTGTATACGACACAAACAGCTTCTAGTTATGTCCCTGCTGAATACACGTTTCTTGCCGGTTGGCATCCTTAGAGCTCGAGGCTTTCCCTGCGCGTTTCGTTGGATTATCTCAGTGGCTCCAGAGCAGGCAAGTCAGGTTCTCAGCCTGAAGTTGGCGATGCGAGGACTGGAGGAGTTCGGTGACTTGACTGCTCCTTCTGTCTCGCAGTGGCAGGGCCTTGCTGCCTCCCACTGACAGGGGATTCACTACCAAGAGGAACAGGTCCATCTGCTGTCAGTGAGTTAGCCCACCCTCAAACTGGAAGCAGTGAACAGAAGTTGGTGCGAGAGAAGCAGGGGAGCTGTAAAGAACTTCGGCTGCGTCAGTTCTGTTTCATTCCCGATTAGTGAGAAAAAAGAGGGCTGGAACTTCACCGCAAACTGAAAGGCACTCGCTGCTGAGCTTCGTCTCCGCGAGGATCCTCTTGTCTCTTCTAGGAACTGGTACCAG